CCTCCCAGACTTGTTTGTGTTTGAAAAAAACACAAGTTTATTTAGCAATTACTATTCTGCGTCCCGCTTTTTTCACTACCACAACACAATTTTCCCCCACACTTTTTTCTTTTTTAATGTTCACTTATTTTTGAAAGAGAGAACCAGAGTGTGAGCAGAGAGGGGCGGAGAGGGTGAGAGACACAAAATCCGAAGACACAGGCTCCAGGCTCCCCAAACTGTTAGCACAGAGCCTGATGCAGGGCTGGAACTCAACAACTGTGAGATCATGACCTGAACCTAAGTCAGACGCTTAACCGACTGGGCCACCCAAGTGCCCCTCCCCAACATTTTCCAAAGACATTGTGAACGTGTCAAGTTTCGTGGTGGGCCATTCACTTTTCAACTCTCTTGCAGGGCTGTGTATCTCTGCGTAGAATGCTTGGCCCACGAAACTTTTAAAACCTACCTTCCAGAATCGGACGACTGAGCCAACTTTAAAGTCTCAGGCACAGGAAGCCTCTTCCCACCCAGCCCACCGCTCTTTTCCCCAAACTGCTTCAACCCGCCCCACCTCCGCCTTCTTCACTTTTCCAACTCCGGGCGCCCGCTCGGCCTCCGTAGACACGTGGTGACGTCACTCACTAGAGCGTTTCTGGTTTCCCTGGTGACGGTTGTCGGGGCAGCGCGTGCAGGCGTCCAGAAGAGACCAAGCCGCTGCGGCCCTAAAAGTGAGGAGCGCAGTGACCGCTGTAAGTGTGGGGAAGGACGGAAGTCCCAGGCAGAAGCCAGGGGAGCCCACAGCCACTGGGGGGTCCGGACCCGCGCCGGAGCGCACGCGCTCGCCCGGGCGCCCTGACCTGCCCCTGGCCTGACCCTCCCTGCACGCGTGGCGAGCGAGGTCTCGCCCCACTTCATTCTGTGAGTCTCCACATACAGCCCTCTTCCCTCTCCAGGCAGACACGTAGTTCCCATGCAGTACAGGGGTTAGTGAGGTTCGGAGGGTGGGTCACCTGCCCACAGTCACACAGCAGGTGGCATGGTCAGAAGTCCGGCCCAGGTCCGTCTGACCAGCGCACTATCCTGGTATCTGCTACGGAGCCCTGCCGCACAAGTACCGAGAGGCGGAATGGGAACTACGCGACTTGGTGGCATCCACTTCCAGCATATTCCCGAGTCAGGGCCAGCCCCCCCCTCCCCCCCACGGGGCCGAGCCGACGAGAGAGTCCCCTCAGAGCGGGACTCCCGCCCGGGGAACCAGACGTTTGCACCCCACCCCACCTCAAACCGATCCCTGCATTGATGCTACCTGAGACAGTCGGGTGTACAGGGCGCCCAATCTCTTGGGCTTCTTCTCTCCACCCCCAGGACCCTAGGCTGTTGCTAGGAATACACTAGGCTAACATAATAAAGGCGGGGTGGGGGGGGGGGGCGAGACGGAGTCTGGTAGGGCCAGAGGAGGCTCATGCCTGGAAGGGGCCTCAGCCCTTCATCACTGGTCTCTGTCCTCTGGGATCTTTGCTTTGCTACAGAAAGTAGAGTAATGGGTGGGTGCCACTCTCCCCAGCCCTTGGCTGCCAGTCTTTCCTGAGTCAGACTTCCTTCCATGTAGACTTAGCCCTAACTTAAAAACAAAAACAAAAACTAATTAATAGGCTTTATTTCTTAGAGCAGTTTTCGATTTACAGAAACACTGAACAGAAAATACAGAGAGTTCCTATATACTCCTCCTCCCTTTCCCCACTATTAACATCTTGCATTAGTGTTGCATATTAGTTGTTACCACTGATAAAGCTATCTGTTATTATTAAGTTAAAAAATCCATGGTTTACATTAATGGTGTGTGTGTGTGTGTGTGTGTGTGTGTGTGTGTGTTGTACAGTTCTATGGATTTTGCCAAATGCATAATGTCATGTATCCACCATTAAAGTATCCTACAGAAAAGTTTCACTCCCCTGAAAACCCCCTGTACTCCACTGTTCATCCCTCCTCCCCTCTCCCCAACCCCTGGCAACCACTGATCTTTTTACTTCTCTACAGTTTTGCCTTTTTAAGAATGTCATACACTTGGAATCATACAGAATGTAGCCTTTCCACACTGGCTTCTTCACTTAGCAATATGCATTTAACTTTCCTTCATGTTTTTTCATGGCTTGATAACGCATTTCTTTTCATCCCTAAATAGCATTCCCTTGTATAGTTGTACCGGTTTATTTATTCACATATTGAAGGATATCTTGGTTGCTCTTTATTTTAGGTAATTACGCATAAAGCTACTATAAATATTCACTTACAGGTTTTCGTGTAGACACAAGTTTTCAAATCATTTGGGTAAATAATGATTTTTGGATCATTTGGTACGACATGGTTGGCTTTGCAAGAAACTGCCAAACTGTCTTCCAAAATAGCTGTACCATTTTATGTTCCCACCAGCAATGAATAAGGTTTTCTGCTGCTTCATATCCTTACCAACATTTACTGTTGTCAGTGTTTTGGATTTTAGCCATTCTAATAGATGTGTAGTATCACATTGTTGTTTTAATTTGCAATTCCCTAATGACATATGATACTGAACATCTTTTCATATGCTTATTTGCCATCTATATATCTTCTTTGGTGAAATGTATGTTCAGATCTTTTGCTCCCTTTTTGATTGGGTTGTCATATTGTTGAATTTAAGAGTTCTTTTGTATATTTTGGATACAGTCCCTTATCAGATATGTGTTCTGCAGTCAAAGTTTTTCTTCCAGACTGTGGCTTGTCTTTTCATTCTCTTAACAGTGTCTTTTGCGGAGCAGAAGTTTTTAATTTTAATGAAGTCCAACTTATCAGTTTTTTTCTTTCATGGATCGTGCTTTTGGTATCGTATCTTAGAACTCATTGCCAAACCCAAGACCATCTAGATTTTTTTCCTATATGATCTTCTAGTGTTTTTTTAGTTTTACATTTACATTTTACATTTAGGTCTATGACCCATTTTGATGTAATTTTGTGCAAGGTGTAAGGTCTGTGTCTAGATTTCTTTTGTTGCACATGATGTCCAGTGGTTCCAACACCATTTGTTAAAAAGACTTTTTTCTTCATTGAATTTCCTTTGCTTCATTTCAAAGATCAGTTGAATCTATTTGTCGGGGTCTATTTCTGGGCTATGTTCTGTTCCATTGATGTATTTGTGTGTTCTTTCCCCAATACCACACTGTTTTAATTTCTATAGCTTTATAGGAAGTCTTAAAGTTGGGTAGCATTAGTCCTCCAGTTTTGTTCTTCTCCTTCAATATTGTGTTGGCTATTCTAGGCCTTTTCATATAAACTTTAGAGTCACTTTGTTAGTATCCACAAATTAACTTGCTGGGGTTTTGATTGGGACCTATAGTTGCAACTACAGATCAAGTTGGGAAGAATTGACATTATTAACAGTATTGAGTCTTCCTGTCCATGAACATGGAATATTTATTTAGTTCTTCTTTGATTTCTTTTCATCAGAGTTTTCTAGTTTTCCTCATACAGATTTTTTACATATACTTATATACATATATTTTTTATATGCATACATTTATGTACATCTACATATTTACATATACGTGTTAGATGTATACTTAAGTAGCTCCATGGTTTAATGTGAATGTAGATGGTGTTGCATTTAAATTTCAATTTCTAGGTGCTGTTTGCTGGTAGGTAGAAAAGCAATCGACTGTTGTATATTAACCTCTGTCCCACGGCCTTGCTATAATTGCTTATTGGTTCCAGGATTTTGTTTTTGTTGTTGATTCTCTGAGATTTTCTACATAACCAATCATGTCATCTGAGAAGAAGACAGTTTTATTTTTTTCTTTCCAATCTTTAATTGTTACTTTTCCTCTTCCGTTGTCAGAAACAGGAGCAGATTTCCCTCTGTTTTTCACAGTGAGAATCTGGTAGGGTTCCTGGAGATAAAAATCACAAAACTATGAGGGCTGAACCCCGAGGAGTTTTAAAACTGCAACCTAAGCCACACAGGGTCGTCAGCAATTCATCAGGTAGAGATTAGTGTTTCTACCGATATTGACTCTAGCTGCAGGCTTCTGCTCCAGTAAACTGTGATTCTCTGTATTCACCTGACTCTCCAATATTCAGGGCAGTACTTTGCCCTGTGACCTCAATTGTCTAAGGATTCTAAGTTCCACTGATTTCCAGTTGTTGATTTTTAGTTTAGATCTTTTTCTTATTGTGAGGATAGGAATGATAACTTCTAAAACTCTTTACATGTCAGAAGTTTCTGCTCAGCTTTAACTTTTGAAACCCTCTGCACCTTTGCTTCTACTACTCAAGTCCAGAGCAAGTAGCAAGACGACTGGTCATGCCCTCAGAGCACCGCATGTAGAAGGCACAAATGTTATTAAGATGGATTTTAAAGAAATGCTTTCTAAACATTTGTTACAATTACATGCGAGTAGCATATTCACAGATACAGCAGCTGGTTACCAAAGATGGTTGGACTAAGGGAGGTCAAATTCATTCATTTGTTCCAGAAATATTTACTGAGCACCTACTGTGTGCTAAATACCGTAACAGGTCTGCAGTACAGTAATGAACAAAATAGATTAAAATGTACACTCTTAGCTTACAAGCTAGTTGGAGAACATAGGTGATAAGTAGGTAAAATGTTCTGTATATCAGATGGTGAGAAATGTGATGGAGAAAAATAAATCTGGGCAGGGGAGAGGGAGTTCAAGGGGTGGAAGCAAGGGAAGGGAATGCATTATTAGGTAGGGTGGTCAGGGAAGGTCTCCCTGAAAACATCCCCTTTGAGTAGACACCTGTCTACTTGTCTGGCAATGAGAGAGGAAAAGTAACCATTACAGGTTGAAAAGGAAGAAATAAAACTGTCTTGTTCTCAGATGACCTGATTGTCTATGTAGATAATCCCAAAGAATCAACAAAAACAACAAAAATCCTGGAACTAAATGTAAATATCCTGGGAAGAACATTTCAGCAGAGGAACAGCCAGCGTGGAAGTCTGTGAGTTTGATGCATTCTTGATAATGAAAGATGGTTTGCAAGGGGAACCAGATTACACTGGGCCCTGTTTTTATGCTGAGGTGAGCATGGTCCGACTTACCTACTAACGGGGTTTCTCTGGCTGATGTGTTGAGAAAAGACCATGGGGTGGAGGGCAAGGGCAGATGTATGGACATGAATTAGGAGGCTACAGTAAGGATCAAGAGGTGGGAAGTGTTCAGATTCTGGGTATATTCTGAATGTAGACCAAGAGAATTTGCTGATGGATTACCTATGCAGGGGGAGTAGAGGGCACTGACCATTAGAGGCATTGCCATTTTTCATTTTGTCACAGAGCCTTTACACATGCTGTGCCTCTGTCCCAAATGCTCTTCCTCTACTTAACTCCTACTCATACTTCCGGTCGCAGCTCACTTCCTTGGGATTGCTCTCCTGGATTCCCCCAGGCTATATCAAACTCTCTGATAGAGACTATCAGCGCTATGTATCTCCTTCAGAACATCACAATTATCATTTTATGCTTTTTTATGTGATCATTTGATCAATGTCTGTCTCCTCCACCAGACTAGAAACTCCATGAGGAGAGAGCTATTCATATGCCAATAAATATTTGCCGAATGATCTTCTGACCCACATCCTACACGAGCAAAGGAAATCAAGTTGAGTGTCTTTAGTGCTGTTTGCTCTAAAGCCGAAATTGCTGCTGTGGTTCCTTTATTCATTCATGGCATAAATGTTCATTTAGCACCCACTGCATACCCATGCTGCCTTGTGCTGCAGAGACAAGATTCAGAGATGAACATGACAGTTTCTATACTGTGAGGGTAGGTGGAAGGTGACAGAAGTCTTCCAGTCTTTCATCTGGACCCCCCCAAATATAAACGGCAGGCATATCTTTGTTCCTGCTTTTAATATACACCAACCACACTGTCATGAAGTAGTCAGGAATCAGGCAGGGCCAACGGGTGTTTTGAAAAATTTAGCTTTAGCATTACTTCTTTTGTTTTTCAAAAGTAAAAGTTTTCCTTTCCGTTTCCTGGGAATCAGCATCCCCTTAGATCCATGTTGTCTTTGGTCAAGGATCTACCTTGATTTGCAATTAAATTGTTTAGGAAGGGAAAGAAGAATGTGGTCAGGGCCCATCTCAGAAGGTTCCTGGCATCCACCCTTCAGTTGCCCCTATCTGCAGCTTCCTGCCACCCCAGCCTCCGCCCTGATCAGTCCACCCTGCCTCTTCTTTCTTCAGACTCACCCATCTGTTCCCCTCTCTGCCTAATAATATCTGCTCACCTCTTATCTGCTCCCAGCATCTTTTCTTCCTCCATCTTCCCCTTCTCTCTCCCACCTCCTACCTAGCCTCCTGCTCACCCTTTCCCCATAGTGCTTTGTCCACACCCCTGTCTTGGCCACCTGAGGCCCCAGGTCAGGATGCCCTTCTGAGCCCCAGGCCCACCCAGCATCTCCATGTGGAAAGCCTAGGGAGTCTCAAACTCAGCAGTGCCTGGGACTGGGCTTGCCAGCAGCTTGGAAAACTCCTCTGCCTGGAATAACCATCTCCCCAGCCACTCAAACCCAAACCTTCTAGACTCCCCTCTCCTTCTCTCCTGCACACTTGCCTCACATTTCTTCCATTTCGGCATCATTCCCGTTCCCCATTCTCCATCCCCACTGCCGCAGCCTTGATTTAGGACCACGTTCCTTCCCGGAAGCATCCTCCCAACTAGGCCCCTTTGCCTCCAGCTTCACAAAATGCAAGTGCGATCCTGTGTGCATCCTCTAAACATCCCCATCATCTTCAGGTTGAAGTTCAGGCTCCTTAGTTGAGCCAGATAAGGCCTTCTTTCCAGTCCCTCCCCAAACCTCTGCGCTGCCCTCTGTCCATCCTGAGCCTTTCTCGATTCCCCACACTCATCACATTCTCTCTGCAAATGCTCTTCTTTTGACAGGACAGCCCTCTGCCCCCCACCCCTGGCGCCCTCTTCTTCCACTGGAGCCAGATTCTTTAGCACTCAACTTCAGGCTGACTCAGTGCCTCCCTCTCCTGCAGGTTTTCCCAGCCTCTCAGAGCACCTGCCCCCCCCCCCCCCCCCCTTATTCTCAGGCCTCACTCATCATTAGACTCACCTGGGACACTTTAAAAATAGATGCAAAAAATAAATAAAATTTAAAATATAAATAAAAATAGACAGATGCCCAGGCCACAGCCCAGACCAACGACATCCAAATCCCTGACAGAGCAGATGCTAATGCCCTGGCGGCTGATGTAGACCAAAGGTGCCCCGTCGGTGCAGACATGCTGTCTGTCTCCCACAGACTTGACTGGGTTGAGGACACCCCATCTCATACGATGAGAAAGATGATAATAGCTAAACTGTCAGGAGTGGTCACATGCCAGGCACTGTAATACACACTTTCCATGCATTCTCTCATTTAATCCCTACAGCCACCCTGTGAAGTATATAATGATTATCATCCCATGAGATCATGACCTGAGCCGAAGTCGGATGCTCGACCGACTGAGACACCCAGGTACCCCTACAAGTTATTCTTTATTCATTTATTTACTCATTCATTTTTTAAGTTTTTTTTATATAAAAAAATTGAAGTAGGGGCACCTGGGTGGCTCAGGTTAAGCGTCTGACTTTGACTCAGGTCATGATCACATGGTTCATGGGTTTAAGCCCTGCACTGGGCTCTGTGCTGACAGCTCAGAGCCTGGAGCCTGCTTCGGATTCTGTGTTTCCCTCTCTCTCTGCCCCGCCCTTGCTTGTGCTCTGTCTCTCAAAAATCAATAAACATTAAAAAAAATTTTTTTTAATTGAAGTAGAGTTTACACACAATGTTTCAATGGTTTCAGGTGTACAATATAGTGATTCCACATCTCTATGTTATGCTGTACTCACCACAATGAGGGTAGCCACCATCTGTCACCTACAGCAATGTTGCAGTACCATTGACTATATTCTCTATGCTGTGCCTTTCATCCTGTGACTTATTCATTCTATAACTAGAAGCCGGTAACTCCCACTCCCTTTCCCCCATTTTACCCGTCTCCCACCCCCTCCTCTTTGGCAACTACCAGTTTGCTCTCTGTATCATTCATCCATTTTTTTTCTTTCATCTTTGAGCACCTGCTATATTCAGTGACAATTCTAAAATATTAATTGAAGGCCCATTCTGGGAAAGATGCTGAAAATTAGGAAATAAGACCTAAGATCCCTGCCCTTAAGAGTCCTCTTATAAAAGGAATAGAAATAGGGGCGCCTGGGTGGCGCAGTCGGTTAAGCGTCCGACTTCAGCCAGGTCACGATCTCGCAGTCCGTGAGTTCGAGCCCCGCGTCGGGCTCTGGGCTGATGGCTCGGAGCCTGGAGCCTGTTTCCGATTCTGTGTCTCCCTCTCTCTCTGCCCCTCCCCCGTTCATGCTCTGTCTCTCTCTGTCCCAAAAATAAATAAACGTTGAAAAAAAAAATTAAAAAAAAAAAAGGAATAGAAATAAAGCCATAGATAATTATAATGCATTAAGGTAAATTTAGTGATCAAAGGATGCCCAAGGGACTCTAGGAGTCTACAGAGTGTCTCCAGGGAATCTTCAAGCTAAACAGGAGTTTTGGGGAAAGAGGAGAGGCAAGGAGGGAAGAGCCTGGGGAGGAAGGCATCCCAGGAAGGTAGAGTGGCTGAAACAAGCCTCTGAGATGCCTCCAGGCTTGAGCACTGGGAGGAGTTACAAAACCAAACTCCTCAAGGACTGATGGGAAATGAAAGTGAGTGAATCCAGCAGGTGTGAGAGAAAGAACACCATTTATAAGCAATGATACCAGACAGCCGATGTGGATGTGCCGGCTGCAGCATCTGGGAGTGGTAGGGATGGTGTTGAGTGGAAAGAGCATAGCCTGCCCAGAGGGAACTCCTTCTGCTAAGAAGCTGCTATCCATGTAAGGCTAGGGACCCAGCATGGCCAAACCTGTAAACTTGTCAAAAAGAAGCTGGAAATCTGGATTTACTTGAAATCTACAGATGTTTGAATGTTTTTTATTTTTTTTAACGTTTATTTATTTTTGAGACAGAGACAGAGCATGAACGGGGGAGGGTCAGAGAGAGAAGGACAGAATCTGAAACAGGCTCCAGGCTCTGAGCAGTCAGCACAGAGGGCTCGAACTCACGGACCGCAAGATCATGACCTGAGCCGAAGTTGGACGCTTAACCGACTGAGCCACCCAGGCGCCCCTACAGATGTTTGAATGTTGACAACAAATTCAAATCCTCACGGAGCATTCTGAGCAAGTTAAAGAAAAATGTGGGATGGATGCAGCTCTCAGACCAGCCAGAGTGCCCTCCATGAGTCCTGGCCGGGTCTTGGAAAGGCAGGAGCCACTCAGATCTGGTTTAAAAAGATCCCAAATGATCAGGTGCAGTATAGGTTAGAAGTACCCAGACAAGGCCCAGGGAAGGTGGGAGGCAGGCAGCCAGAGAGATGGGGAGGTACCAGGGGGATACTGGAGTGAGCGGGCAGGAGATAAGGTGCAGAGGTGACCTTGTGATGTGAAGGAGTGGCTGTGGAGGCTAGAGGGAGCTATGTCATGGGGCTGGGTCACTGTGGGCCCAGTAGCCCAAGAAGGCTTTCTGCTAATGGGTCACAAGAATCACTGTGAGGGCCTGGAAGCCTCTGTATGTGGGGCAAGAGAAGGAGGAAGGGATTCCCCAAGACAGACCACCAGAAAGGGAGAAAAAAATAGTATTTTGTTCCTACCATGCATAGCTGACAAAGTACCTTCATGCACCACCACCCAATTTGCATTTGCCCCTTACAGCACATCTATGGTCTCCTTCTCATCTCCTGCTTACTGAAGAGGGATTGAGGCCCAAAGAGGTCTAGAAATTTTCTTTCTTTTTTTTTTAATGTTTATTTATTTTTGAGACAGAGAGAGACAGAGCATGAATGGGGGGAGGGTCAGAGAGAGAGGGAGGCACAGAATCCGAAGCAGGCTCCAGGCTCTGAGCCATCAGCACAGGGCCCGTCGCAGGGCTCGAACTCACGGACCATGATCATGACCTGAGCCGAAGTCAGACGCTTAACCAACTGAGCCACCCAGGTGCCCCTAGAAACTTTCTAACTCACACAGCTGGTATAGAGCAAGTTCACCCTGAAACTCAGGTGCTGTCTCAGCTTGGGCCAAGCTACTTGTACGGTAGCCCAGACCAGCAGTGTCCAACATCCAGGCTGCACCCTGACCAATGACATCAGGATCCCTGGGTGGGGGACCCAGGGACCAGTATCTTAAAAGCTCCGGGTGTTTTCAGTGTGTAGCAGGGGTGGGAACCGCTGTTTTATATGCTAGTCACAGCCTCCAAGTTGCTTTTCCAAGTTGCTGTTGACCTAGAATGATTATTAATAGCTCTTCCTTTCACTCTCCAAGGTGACCCAATTTGGAAAATGAAGTATATGATGGTCCCTTCTTATAATCTACAAAAAATAGGGAATCACAGGATAAACTTATTTTTAAACTCTCCAGTTATATTTTCAAATAATAGGCTCAGTAGGGTTTTCTTCAATCTCTAGGCACTTTTTCAGGTGAAATTCTCCTAAATTGGGTTGGCAAACTAAGGCGCACAGTCCAAATCCAGCTCACTGCCTATTTTTGTAATAAAGTTTTATTGGAACACAGCCACACCCACTCATTTCTGTCTTGTCTATTGCTGCTTTCCATTACAACAGCAGAATATAATACTTGTAACAGAAACCATATGGCCCACAAAGCCTAAAATATTTACTATCTGGCCCTTTACAGAAAAAGTCTGATTTTCCTGTTTATATAACATTGAGTCTGATTGTTAAGTTACATTATATCCCTACGTGTCCCAAAAGATGGAACGGGGAATTGAGTGACTATGGTCAGCTGTGCAGACAGTCAGCCGTGCCTGTGTGACTGAGCCCCCTGTAAAAACCCTTTTGCTTGTCTGCTTGTTTAATGAAGTCTGAGCAGAGGCTCATCTATGGCTGTCACACATTCAGCAGAGGTGTCCAGGGGTTCCTGTAGTTTGAGGGTCCCCAAGACTATCCTGAGCTTCCACGATTTGATAGAAGCACTCACAGAACTCAGCAAAGCTGTTATACAGTTAATTCTGATGAAAGAGTACAGATTAAAATCAGCAAAGGAAAAAGGCACATTTGGCAGAGTCCAAGAGACACAAGGCACAAGCTTCCAGTTGTCCTCTCCCAGTGGAGTCTCAGGAACAGTGCTTGCTTCTCCCAGCAACAATGCATGACAACATGCATGGAGCATTGCAAGCCAGGGAAGCTCACCCAAGCCTTGGGGTCCAGGGTTTTACTGGGGGTCAGTCACACACGCATGGCTGACTGCATACATGGCTGACCTTAGTCACTCAATTTCCCACCCTTCCAGAGGTAAAGCTGATATGGCATGGCCCAAGGTCTCCATCATAAAATCACATTGTTAGCATAGGCCATCTTGAGTGGCCCAAGCCCAGGTAAAGAAAGGCTTTATTGCCAGGCAGGATATACCTAAGACTTAGAGGTTACCTCCTTCAGAGCAGGTCAAGGGCCAAACCTTCCTTTGGAATGTGCAGGGTGTGGACAACCCAGACTTGCTGAGTTAATTCCTCTAACAGGACAGAGCGATATAGTTATAGTTATAGTTATAGTTACAGTTATAGTTATATAGTTCCTCTAACAGGGCAGAGCTACCTAGTGAGGAATTCCAAGGTAACAGCAGCTCCTCTTTTGCTGTGACAGGCTCAAAGGCTATACCGTGGGCTCAGTTCTCAGCACATCCCAACCACCTGGGCAGCACTAACACAGCCCCATGCCTGGTCTCCACCCCAGACTAGTTAGATTGAATCCTCCAGGACTGGGGCCTGGATATCAGTACTTTTGAATTGTATCCCTGCAGATTCAATATTAAGACAGCTTTAAGAAGTTCTGGGTGTAGGCTCTGGGACCACCCCTGAGGACAGGGTAGGGATAAGTACAGTGGAAAGGTGTTGCTGGAGCAGCTGGGGGTGGTCAGGTAGGGAGCATGTTCTTCCTGGGGGGTCAGGAAAGGATGTGGTGTTTGTGCCAGGCCTGGGAGAACCAGCAAGGTTTAAGTCTAGGGGAGAAGGACATATAGGGACAGAGCAGCAAGGTGAGACTAGAACTGGCCTTAAGAAAGGGAAAGTTGGCTGGAAGAAGAGACAGAGGCTTAATCCCCCAACACCTTTAATGCCTTTGGACTTGGTTTTGCAGCTAATGGGCATCTGCTGAAGTTCTTTGGTGCAGGAGTGTGTCAGGCTAAGAGCTGTGCTTTGTATAAAGTATTCCCTCAGCCAATGCAGGGTAGACTACAAGGAGGAAAAAGGAGAGGGCAGCCAGGGCAGTAAGGGCCTGCTTGAACAGTCCTAGGACAGAACCATCTGTCATTTGTTCATCTAATACTCATTTCCTGCCTGCTACACACCAGGCCCTGTTCTAGGCACTGAGGATCCAACAGTGAACATCAGATAGTGCTTGCCATTGTAGGACTGGCAGAGAGGGAGAGAAGCAATCAATAAACATACAGTGTGTCAGGTGAAGCTAAGTGCTGTGGAGAAAGATACACCAGGGTAAGGAGTGTGGGGAGTGAGAATAAGAAAGTTTTCCACAATGGAATGGTGTAGAGACTTCTCTGATAAAGTGACGTTTGAAAGAAGTGATTAAAGTGGATGTGTGGGGGGAGAGCATTCTAGGGAGAGGGAATGGCAAGTACAAATGCCCTGAGGTGGTCGTGAGCATAATGAGAGTGGGGCTGGAAATACACGGACATTTATGTAAAGACATTTATGGAGGATCAACAAGATTTATCACTACTTGGATGGTGGGTGGATGTTGTGACTTCAGTTTGGTTTCAGGCAGGGGTGCTTAACACCAGACATGAGGAGGCCGTTTAAAAATTCCAGTGTCCGTGCTCTGTTATTCTGTTTACCTGAAGTTCAAAAGTAGACAAAAATACCCAGAATGTATGAGGAACTCTGACCACTCAATAATAAGCAGACAACGTGATTTAAAAATGGGCAAAAAATATCAATAGACATGTCACAAAAGAAGACATGAAAATGGCCAGTAAGCACAGGAAAAGATGCTCGATATAATTTGATATCAGGGAAATGCAAATTAAAACCACATTGAGATGCTACTTCATAGTCACTAGAGAGACTAAAATTGCCATACTAAGTGCTGGCAAGGATATGGAGCAACTGGAACTCTCAAACACTGCCGGTGGGAATGTAAAATGTTACAGCCAGTCTAGAAAACAATTTAGCAGTTTCTTATAAAGCTAACATAAATTTACCATATAAGCTGGCATTTCCACTTCTATGTATTTGCCCAAGGGAAATAAAAACATATGCTCACACAAAGACTTTCTTGTATATGAATGTTTATAACAGTTTTTATTCATAATAGCTGAAAATGGAAACAGCTCAGGTGTCCAATAGCAGGTGAATATATGAACAAACTGTGGTATATCTATGTGATGGGATACTACCCAACAATAAGCAGGAATGAACTAATGATGCATGCAACAACATTAATAAATCTCCAAAAGGTACCGCTAAACACACACACACACACACACACACACGAACAAAACAAAACAAAAACAAACCACAAAGGCTACCTACTGTATGATTGCAGTTATATGAAATTCTAGAAAAGACAAAATGTAAGGGATCAAAAGCAGATCAGAGTTTGCCTGGGACTGGGACTGGCAGGGAGATTGTCTGCAGAGGGGCACAAAGGAACCTTTCTGGTATGATAGAAATGTTCTACAGTGCTGTTGCTCATGGCTGACACACGTATATGTGTTTGTCAAGACTCATTTGCACACATAAAATGGCATATTTTATTGTCAATGACTTATACTTCGGTAGAATTTAAAGATTAAAAAGAAAACATAAAACTCATCTTCAATGGCAGAGGTCGGAACAGTGGTTTCTTGGGGGGAATGACTGCCTGGAGAGGGCACAAGATAGTCTGCTTGGGGACAGGAAGTACTTATACCTTGATCCAGGTGGTCACCCCAGGGATGTATACTTATGTAATGGTCCATTGAGCTGTACATTCAGGATTTATGTACTTTACCATGTGTAAATTACACTTAGAATTTAAAAGTATGATGTCTGAACCCCGCTCCTGGAAATTGGGATTTAATTGGTTCAAGGATGTGTCCAAGCTTTGTTATATTTTAGAAGCCCTTAGGAGATTCTAATATCCAGCCAGTGTGGAGAGCCATTGCTTTTAGAGACAGGAAGGAGAGCAGTGTTGAGTCTGAGCGACGGGGAGCAGTCTGGTGGCACATTCAGGGCAGGAGGAGGATGTTCAGCTCAGCCTTGGCTTTCAGGGGATTTGAGGTGAGGCTGGGTCTTCCAGGCTTCCATAGGGATACACACAAGTCTAAGCAGGGTACTGCAGACTTGGAGGCTGTAGACAGAGCTGACTGTGTGCTGAGTACTCTTGGGAAATGTGTGCTTGTTGGGGTTTGCTTCTGCGCAGGCTTCTTTTCCTACTCCTACGGCAAGATGGCAGCAGATGAAGGTGCACGGGACACCTTGCGGCTCCAGTTCAAGGCCATGCAGGAGATGCAGCACAAAAGGTTGCAGAAGCAGATGGAGAAACAGAGGGAAAAGGAACTGAGCCTCGAAAGCAAAGTTGATGACCAAAAAGAGCCCTTGGAGATCTCGGATGGCCTCAGCCTTCTTCAAGCTGGGGAGAAAAACTCAAAACACACCTTCGAGCAGAGGTAAATGTGAACTTGAACCCTCTCAGGAGCACTGGAGGGAGGTAGGGAAGGTGGGGGAGAAATTATTACAGACAGCTAGACAATCAGGTTGACTAGATGTGTGTGTATAAGTTGGGCCACAGAGGTTTTGACACAGAGGTTGTTACTGAAGACTTGCCTCTGATAGATCTGTGCTCCTGTGGATATAAGTTGGTATGAAATGTGTATAAAAATTGTTCAAAGTCAAATTGAAAATTTGAAACTCATCAGGGTGTAGTTTATTCACTTGGATTTTCTTATTCAGTCTCTCATGAAAACCGTGTTTGGGTTTCTGAGGAGGTGGTTGGCTAACTCTGATGGTTCATAAATGATGATTGCTGCAAATTCTCATCTGAGATCGTTCTCCTATGCCAATTCCCTTTCCTGACACATAACAACCATAAACATACCTGTCCTAAGAAAGCTCTTGGTGGGTTCCTTGGTTTTTCACATTGGTGAAAAGGTTGAAAGTAGTCTGGAATCTTCTCATTTTGTTTTAAATTCAGTGCATGTTGATTTATACTGGTTGTCAAAGCAGAAGTCTATATTGATAACAAAATTCTCTGATAGTAAAAAAAAAAAAAACAAAAAACAAAAAAAAACAAAACCAAAACTCCACAATAGTTGTTGAGTTGTCTCTTTGCTTCTGGTTTGGCCCAGAATCTATCTTACCCATCCTCAGATGGGTACTTTTTATGGTTTCTCAACTTTCAAAATGTTCCACTAAAAAATGTTAATGGGAGAAAAACATACAGGTTGTGCAATAATTGGAAAAGTTCCTGTGGCTCCGAGATATTAGCTCTAAGTTAACCCCAGACCTATGTTTCCACATGATCTTTTCCCAAATTGGAGAAACTGGTTGGTGGAGGCCCGAGCCACTGATGGAATAACAGCAGTAATGATGATATCAGCTGTTAACTAATAATAACCGTTCCCTATAACGTCTATAACTTACTCACTTCCCACACAACTGTCCCTAGGGAGCCTGTTCTGTGCCTCACGGTAGAAATGATCACAGACCCATCAATCATGTGGTTCTCGTGTTTTAAAGTGCTGGAGAGTACCTTGCAAGACAACTCATGATGAACAAAACCAACCACCTGCTCGGATTTCTGTCAGGTTTACCTGAAACCTAGAGACCCAGGCTCAACTTAAGGCTTAGACAATTCCTATGTGGTCTTCTAATATGTATGTGTATGTGTATATACACATGCAGTTAAGACTATCAGTATCTTGGGGCACCTGGGTGGCTCAGTTGGTTAAGCATCTGACTTTGGCTCAGGTCATGATATCGCAGTTCATGGGCCCAAGCCCTGCCTCGGGCTTGCTGCTCTCAGTGCTAAGCTCGCTTTGGATCCTCTGTCTCCCTCTCTCTCTACCCTTCCCCTGCATTTCACACATTTTTATATATATTGCTACTGCAGTCAGTCTGTTCTAAATGCTTCACGGTACATGCTATGATTTCTTCTCAACCTATAAATAATTTAGAAATGTGTTTTTCTTAAAAAAAAATAATGTTTTTTGAGAGAGAGAGAGAGAATGTGAGTGGGGGAGGAGCAGAGCGAGAAGGGGACAGAGGATCTGGAGTGGGCTCTGTGCTGATACCAGTAAGCCCGATGTGAGGTTCAGACTCACAAACCATGAGATCATGACCTGAGCCAAAGTGAGACACTCAACTGACTTGAGTCACCCAGGTTCCCCAGGCATGTGGTTTGTTGTTGTTTTTTTTAGTCCCAAATATATGATGCGTTTGGGGGTTTGTTTTTTATTTTATTTTTTTGCTGTCTTTTTAGTATTGATTTCTAATTTTAGTCAATTGCCATTAAACAAAAAGATCTGTATGATGTCCATTATGTGGAATTTGCTAAGATTGCCTTTGTGGCCTATAAGATGATACATTTTTATCCATGTTCCATGGATGCTTGAACAAGTATGAATTCTTGGAGAGAGGCAGTCAGTTATATAGCCCTTTCTTAAATCCATAGTAAACAATGTAATTCAAACCTTTTTTCTCTTTTCATGTGTGTGCATGTGTGTGTGAGTGTGTGTGCATAGTCACTCAGTTTTGAGAACAGTGTGTTAAAATCTGCTCATTGACATTTTCCATTTTGTACAGACGAGTTCTTTTCACCACCTAGTGCCCAACCAGGTACAACAAGCCTGGGCAGTGGAGGCCTGACTCCTGCCCCATCGGTCCCTATAATTCTGCCTTTGCCCTTGTAGGATGCTTGAAGAGGAGATCACACACCTTCGAGAGCAGCTCAGGGAGACAGTGGATGAAAATGGGCGATTGTATAAGCTGCTGAAGGAAAGGGACTTTGAAATCAAACATCTCAAAAAGAAAATAGAAGAGGACAGATTTGCCTTCACAGGTAGCTCAACCATTGCTGTGGCAGTGCCTGCCCTGATCTCCAGGTAGCTGGCCGAGCTGCCATGGAGCCCCCTGGGCAGGGCAAAGAGCAGGTTCCAGAGCACACGTGCTCAAGAGAGAGTGCCAAGGGTCAGCCATGGTCAAGTTCATGCGGATGAGTAATGGAAATGAAGGAGAGGTAGGGGAAGAGAGCAGGCCAAGGAGGCCAGTGAGCCAGGAAATGGGAGCACAGGAGCAGCAGGGACAGTCGGCAGGCATCCTGGGCAGTGTTGGTGAGCTGGCTAGGACTCATAACAGGGGTTCTCTGTGGATTCTTGCTGCACGTTTGTCGGGCCAGCGCGACATTTTATCTTGGTGCTCTGGCTCGGCCATTGTGTTGTGGATGTGAAAAAACCCCAGTGGAAGCAGGCATTCACTCTACAGCACTTGCTGCTCCAGAAAAGTGGACGAGACAGGGAAGTTAGCTGTTCTGAGGGAATTTCCTGGGACCTAGTAGGGTCTAGAGTGGGCCTTGGCCCTTTTGGTCTGGGCTGGACCTTGGCTCTGTTGGTAGGGACATTGGCCATATGGGTCTGGGGATGACCTTAGTTCTGTGGGTGTGACTAGACATTGGCTCTGTGGTTATGAGCTAGACCTTGGCCCTACAGATCTGGTGGGGACCTTGGCCCTGATTGTCCTCTGTTCCATGTACACCCATTGAGCAACTCCCAGGTAGCTGACGAAACCAGAAAGTCAGTGTAAGTAACCAACCACAGATGACAATGGGCCTCACCCGGCATCTGCCAGAGTGTCCCTCCCTGCCTTTTGAGAGCCAGTGTATTTAAGGGTAGGTACATGCAGAGGACCAGTAGTGAATTCACAGCCAACGGGAATTTGGTGTCCTAAAGGCCCTTGGTCACTATTGTGCCTCACTCCATTCTTTGGCCTTTTCTGTCTAAAACAAAAAACAACACTGAAGGGAAGGACTTGTATTGTGAGGAATAGAAAAACACACCCAGCCTGGCTGAGGTTCAGATGTGAAGGGGCAGCTTGCCCTTTGGCAGGGCCATAGAGAAGCTGATGAGTTCCAGGGGGGAAGCAGGAGATGCTTCCCCTCCCCAGGAGCCTGTGGACACAGGGGTGATTCCCTCTCTCCCAGCCTGCCCCGTGCTGTCTCTTTGCTGTCTCTGCCAGCTTGCTCAAGGCCTCGTCTGACTGCCAGCCCCATCTCTTCCTCAGGACTTCTTAAATCCAGTCCATGCTATGCAGTCACCATTTCTGATTTCCAGTGTCAAATTTTGAAGAGAAAGGTCTGACTGGCCCAGCATGTGTGTTTAGACCAGGCCTCAAGGGACAGTCTGCTGACAGCTGACAGACTGGTTTTCCTTTGGCTGGATTTTTAGTGATTGCTTTAATTCTGTTTTTTTTTTTTTTTTTTAAGTTTATTTGAGAGAGAGAGACAGAGAGAGACAGAGCGTGAGCAGGGGAGGGGCAGAGAGAGAGGGAGACACAGAATCTGAAGCACGCTCCAGGCTCTGAGCTGTCGGCACAGAGCCCGACGTGGGGCTCGAACTCACAAACTGTGAGACCATGACCTGAGCTGAAGTCGAATGCGTAACTGACTGAGCCACCTAGGCTCCCCAATTCTGTTGTTTTTTTTTAACTATACTTCTTTGCATAATTTTTTAGTGATTGCTCAGGCAATCACAAAATACATAACTTGTCACAGGCTACTTAGAATTAATATTTTACTAGTTCAAGTGGAACAAAGAAACTACCACCATATGGGTCCCTTTACCCTCCCCCATAATAGTGCAACTTTTATATGTATTATATCTCTATATATTGAAAATCCCAACAGATAATGTTATAATATTTGCTCTCAATCATTACACATATCTTACAGAGCCTAAGGAGACAAAAATAATCTATTATATTTACCCAGACATTTAGTATTTCTGTCCTTGCCCATTCACTGCTGCTCCCTTATCATGGGATTGCAGCTTCAAGAGTGAGGCTTGGGAAAGAATAGAAAGAAAAAACAACAACAGAGGATTTTTCTTGTTTTCTCTGAGTGCCCCTTCCTGCCCCTTAGACCAGAAAGGGCTTCTCTTGGACCTCTTCATGACATCTACTTCCAGGATTTATGCTGCTTTTGAGTCCTGGAAGGAAAGCATAACACAGAAAACTCACTGCTGGACCATGTGTCCTTCCAGGCCTGGTTTCCATCCCTGTTCTGAGCCTTTCTCCTGAAGTGTCCCTAGCCTCTGCAGCAGATAGGAGGAGGCCAGGGGCAGCTGCAGGCCTGGGCTGCGTCAGTTTGAAAACCATCAAGCACCCTTGTATACCTTCCAGCAGTTGTCACTTTCAGTCTGTTCTAAGGCACATGACAGTTGTGTTAAAAAAAACAGGCCTAAGAAGGTGTCCCTGCTGGTTACCCACTGCTGGAATGTCGGAAGCATTCAGAGAACTTGCAGACCATCTGACCACACCTGCGTTGCGCACGTGGACAGGGGACTGTGAGGCTACCCCGTCAGTCAGGAGCTGAGCTGGGCTACCTCCCATTGCCTGCCATCTGCACGGCCCCATACAGTTCAGATTCCCACATTCACACCCTGCCAGCAGCTTCCTGCCCTTGCCCACTGTGTTCTAGCTACTCCGTCCTGCTCGATGGGCCTCAGATTCTCCAAACATATTCCTGCCCCTGGACCTTTGCACTTGCTGTGCCCTTTTCTTAGAATACCCTTCCCAGTTGGGAACACTCTTCTTGATGGCTTGATCCCTCACTTGTCATTCATCCAGGTCTCTGTTCACACGTATCTCCACAGACAGGCCTTCCTTCCTGACCACTCCGTCTAAAATAGCGTCACCCCCATCCCTCTCATCCCCTTGCCCAGCTTCATAGCAGGCAGTCCTCCCAGGCACTGGAATGCATATTTATTTGTTTTTTATTATCTGTCTCCCCTGCTGGAATGTAAACTCCATAAGTCTGTTTTATTCACTGTTGAATCCCTAGTAGCGAGAGTGCCCAACACCTGGTGAAACTCAATAAATATTTATTAAATGGGTGCATGCCTCTGTGTTGGTTAGGTGTCACCACAAAGCTTTGTGTCAGAAACAACCACATAATCTTGGCGGCATTCGGCAGTAAGCATGTATTGAGCTCAAACATCTGGGGTTAATTGGGGCTCAGCAGATCTAGGTCGGGCTTGACTAGGGTGGGTTAGCTTTATTCCACGTGTCTCTCTTCCTCGTCCTGGGCCCAGCCAGCTGGCCTGGCTGTGTTCTTGTGGAGATGGCACGAGTGAAAAAGGGGGGGCTTTAACTGCACAAGTGCTTTTCAAGCCTCTACCTGTGCCTTATCTGCTAACAACCCATGGCCAAACAAGTCATTGGCTGAGCCCAGAGTCAGGCAGGCATAGAGGGGTCGAGGGGGGCACACACGATTTGCCGGAAGGCACAGAGCACAGGGTGTGGGTGTGTAACCGTGTCACTGAGGAGGGCATGGAGAATTGGGGCAATAAACTGATATCCCATAGAATTAAAACTCTGCTTCCGGATTTTGTAATTTCCTGAATGGCTGCCTTTCTACTCATCGGAGTGGGGTTTCAGGGTGCCTACGTGTGCATCCACTCCCCCGAGCCTCTGCCCTTTCATGAGGGTTTCAGCTTTTCAAACCCCAGGGCTGTTGGTAGTGCGGCATGAGTTTGATGTGTGGGCCTGTGCTTTTAATTGACCTCCCGGTTTTCCTTCACTTTAGGGACAGCCGGTCTGGCCGGGGATGTGATCGCCACCAAAATCGTCGAGCTGTCCAAAAAGAACCGGGCGCTGATGGCAGAGTCAGAGGGTGCGAAAACCAGAGCGAAGCAGCTGAACAATCGCATCCGGGAGCTGGAGCGGGAAGTGAGGGGCCTTGGTCACTGCCGCCTCTGGAGGGGACTCCCAGGACCCTGGGCCACTCCTCCAGAGAGGGAGCCACACTTAGATGCTTTGGGTCCCTCTGAAGGGCTTGTGGGTCAGTGTTCGCTAAGAGTTCCTCAGTCTTTGTCACGTCCTGAGAGGGGAAAGTGTGTCAGGAAGCAAGAGGGGCGCAGGGCACGGGGAGGCAGCCGGCATGGCGGTTAGGACGCCGACCCGGAGCCTGACCACCTAGAGGTGAATCTTAGCTCCAAAGCTGCCTTACTTTGTGACATTGAGCAGGCTATAAACTCACTGTGTCACATGACAGTAATAAGAGTACTCACCCTAAGGTTTTCTGAAGATTAAGTGTAAAATGCTTTGACCAGTGCCTGGCAGGTAGCAAGTACTAGATAAATGTCTGTTAAACGAATTAACAGGGAACCTTGTGCCAGGGCACTCTAGCAGTTGGTCTCACTTTTGCCCATCTTCCTCTTTCTGCTGCCCCCTGCCCTCCCACAGCTAGTCACAGACCCCTCCAGTCTTGCAAGGACACAGCCCGAGCAGTTCATGGTCCCTTAGGAGCTGCAATGGAGCCCATATGCAGACCATCTGACCAGACCTGCGTTGCGCACGTGGACAGGGGACTGTGAGGCTACCCCGTCAGTCAGGAGCTGAGCTGGGCTACCTCCCATTGCCTGCCATCTGCACGGCCCCATACAGTTCAGATTCCCACATTCACACCCTGCCAGCAGCTTCCTGCCCTTGCCCACTGTGTTCTAGCTACTCCATCCTGCTCGATGGGCCTCAGATTCTCCTTATATGGCTAAAGAAGCTGGAGCTTAAAGAGGTTAGGGGGCTTTCTCAAGTCCTACAGCACGTGGTGGTGCTGCATCGCAAATCCAATTCTGTTGCCCCCCGAAATTCTCCTCAGTTGCTGTGGTAAGGCATTGAATGAGAGCTTCTTTATTCTATAACAATTTGTTTGAGATCCATCTCAGGCTCTGTGCCAGGCCCCGTGGGGGGAGCAAAATAGGCATGGGCCTTGCCTCCTCAGAGACAGACCCAGCCCCGAGGGCCTCGTAGAGGAGTAGGTACACACAGTGGGTCCATGGAGGATAGGAAGGGGCCACACTGGGAAAGGGGGCATGGGCCCCCATGCAGAGGGCCCAGCAGATACCAAGACTCTGAGTGGGGAAGAAAGTCTGGGAGGAAACCCATGTGGCCAAGAGTGAAGCAAGATGAGGTCAGAGACCACACCCCCAGCCTTGCCAGACACAGTCCGGTGTTCGTGTGAACAACTGGGAAAGCAATGAAGGGTTAGTTGACTGTATGCAGTGCTGGGCTTGGCTACAGGCCATGAGCCCATGTGGCAGGTTTCTTTGCGTCTCTGACCCTGTCTCCTCGTCAGTCACATTAAGTCCATAGTCCCTTTATGGTACGCCTCCCAGACTGTGGACAGAACTCTGGGATACAGACCACGGCTGCAGTATTATTATGTGTTAAGCTGTTAGTGAATCCTGGTGCTACTCTAGTGTGTAGTTGGGCAGTGAGGCCGACAATCAATTAAACCCTCTCTCATCGCAGCAGTTTGTAGAGGAGAGTTCTTCCATTAATGGTCCTAAAGTGAGCTGAAAGGTGAACCACACACCCGTGGCGGCACCAGGGCACTGCACTCAGGCACGGCAGTTGCCAAGCAGAATCCAATATTAAGTGCGAGATTTACTTTTCAGCTGCAGGCGGCCCAGGCCAGGCTACCAGCCAAGGCGGCCACCGACGTGGGAGCCAAGGCGCCGAGGGCTCAGATGGGAGACAGAGCCTTGGTATGAATTCTCTTCTGTGCTGGGGAGTCTGGGAGGCAGCCGTGGGCCTGGGTCTCCCGTCCTCTATGTGAGTATAGGTGCCTGTGTCCAGGGTCCACCTCCCTTGCTGAGCCAGTGCCCACCATTGTGGCATCCTCAGAGCAGCCATCAGGGAATGAAGTCCCGTGGCCTGAGGCCAAGAATGCCCCAGTGGAGTCTAGGTCTAATTCTGATTCAGTCCCTAGAGAGAAAGAACAGGAGGGGCCTGAGGACCCTGGAACCCTAGAATTTAGGGACCAGCAACGAAGGCCTTGTCCAACTGGCCTCCCACTCTCAGCCCAGCTGTGTCCTCTACAGCATTCTCACTGGGGAGACATCCAGCCTCTATCTTACCCCAGGGACAGGGAGCTCACTAGTGCCCAGCCCTGTGTGTTGGTAGGGGGGACATTTCATATTGTGAGAAGTCTTCCCTTTGTACAAAGTAAAAGTGACTATTGGGAATGGCGGCTTGTCCCTCAGATTCCATTTTGCTCAACCAGTGTGTAGGGCATGAAACCCAAGAAACAGAAATTGCAGGCCCATGAAAGGAAGGCAGTCTGACCCTGTGGGTTACCAGGGGGGAGCATGGAGCCCAAGGCAGATAATAAATAGCATCAGAGTCTCAAGAACAACCCAGGAGGCCTCTCCAGGGGTTTTTCTTGGGAAGCCAGACCAGTTGGAGATACAGGGAGCCAAGCCTTAGGACTCCCTGTTCAGTGTTCCTTTTCTAGTCTCACCTCCCTTTTGCCTACAATGCAGAGTAAAGCCACCTCATGCCTTTCTTGAGGAGAATTAAGCCCTCAGTGTATAGTGATAGGGCCCTAGGTTCCAGGAGAAGAACCTAGTAGAGTGAAGGCTAGTCTTGTATAAACCTGTCTTATTGGTGGGAGGGCTCTGCCCTTGGCAGGGGCTGTGCTTATAGGGCCTTTCCTGGCCCCAAGGGACACTGTTCAGCTGCTCCTGCTTTATCCAGAACACTGAGCACTTCCACGTCCCTGACTAGTCTGCCACTGATGAAGGACTGCTTGATTGGTCACTTGATTGAGCCCTGTGACTCAGGGAATCAAAGATACGGCCTCTGTCCACAGGGGAGCCCAAGAGGGGAGATGAGCAGCCATATTGAAGGAAGGAGGGGGACAGGGCCTTCAGAAAGAGTCCCAGGGGCTCAGAGTTCACAAAGAGAGCACACCATGCGAGGCAGCTAGGAGGTGGGCTGGAGGAAAGTTCCTGAGGTGGGCCTTGCTGGAGAAGGAGGATGGAGGAGGGCCTTCCAGCAGAAGCTGTGCAATCCGAGGCTGAGAGTCTGAGAACCTGTTCTGTTTGCTAGCTGGGTGTCGGCTGGACAACGTCTGGCTGCAGCCCACAGCCTGAGAGGGGAAAGGGGAATGTCAGCCAAACAAGGCTAGCGTGGGGTCACCCACGGAGGGAGGCCTTGACTGGCAGCTGGAGCAGGAATTTCAGCTTTGCTCCGTGGCCGAGGGGAGCCTTGTGGGCTTCTGATACAAGAGTGGGTGGTGGGCCGCAAGCCTCAGCTCAGCAGTAGCCTGTGCTTTCCAGGGTACCTCTGATCAGAGAGACGACAAAAGCAACACCCCCCTCACTGGACTGTTTGGGGCAGCCCCAGCCTGAACCACACTCCAGAGGCCTGCATGCTCACTCCTCATTCTGGCCCCCGTGTGCCAAAGCACATTCCAGAGTGGAGCTGAATGCCTTGTCTCCACTTGGCACAGTCAGCATGGGGCTTCAAGGGGCTGTGCCGTGAGCAACATTGGCATTGTCTGTGCCCCTCAGACTACATTTCAGTTATTCCCTCAAAGAAAATAGCCCAGGGAATGGGAGGCTTATACCCATACTCAAGTCCCCCACAAAGCCTGTGGAATTTCACTCTGGGCTGAAGTAGCCCTGAAATGGCAGGAGGCGGGGGTGCAGCTGTCCAGGAGGAGAGGGCTGGGGGGCTTGGCAGAGCAGAGGGGTGAAGGCTGTTATGCATGCGGGTCCAGCCCTCACTAGGACACTATCTAGTTCTCAGCCCCCTTTGCCAGCTGCCCCCTCAAGCCAGGCTAGGCCCCCAGCCCTCACACTGCTCTCTGTCAGAATCTGCCCCAGAAAGCATCCTTTACGTGCATTATCCTATCGACACTCATGGCATCCTGGAGGCTGGTGTTGTATGGCCCTATTTTACAGATGAGGAAATCAGGCTTGGGGAGGGGTGTCTGTCATTGCCTGGGTCCTAGATCTGGGTCCAGGATGTGTACTCTTTCCATGCTCTGAGCAGGGTCACAGCCATCACGTGGGACACTCATAAATAGAGCTCCTGCACCACCACCAGGGCCAGTGGGGGTCATGGCACCCAAGACCTGACAGGCAGGGGTCACTTGCCAGCCTGGGGCAGATGTAAAACAGCACACGAGCAGGGAGAAGGACGGCAAGTAGCCAGACAGGGGGAAGGACACACACACACACACACACAATTTTTTTAAAGATACGTTTGCGTTCTGTGTAAGTTCCCGGTTTACTCTCTGTTCACATTTGTTACTCTGTTTAGCCTCATGGTGGAGCTGCGAAGAAGCAGGACAAAGAAGTATTTTTATACCCGTTCCACAAACGAGGAAACCAGATGAGGCCAGACTTCTCGGGCTGTGTGTCCAATTCCTGTTTCCTTCACCAGTGGTTTTCACCTGGGCTGTCCAGAACCTCTGGGGTCCAGGGAACCTCCCAGACCCAACCTGCGTGGCTCTGCCTTCCATGCTAGTGTTCACAGGAGGTTTTGTGTGTGGCTGCTGAGGAAAGATCAGAAGTCCACTGCAGCCCCCGCCCTGCTTCCCAGAAGTCCAGCTCACCTGGTCTTTGGGGCAAGAGCAGATGGTCTTGGCATCACTGCCCGATGGGACTTTCAGCCCACTGGTGATGCGTGGGCGCCAGAAACAGCTTCAAGTGGGAGAATCAGCTAGTGCAGGGGAGGGACCAGGCTTCTTCTAATCTGACTTGTGTCAAACCCAGTCAGCTTTGTGCCCTTGAGCAAGTTACTCCCCCTCTCTGGGCCTCATTTTCACTACTTATGGAAGGGGTTTGGATGGGCTGACCATGGAATCCCTTTAATGCCAAACTTTTTTGAGTCTCAGAAACTTATACTGAAGACAGAGAAATGGGCAGCGCATTTTTTTAATAATTTTTTTTTAATGTTTATTTGTTTTTGAGAGAGAGAGAGAGAGAGAGAGAGAGAGAGAAATAGTGCAAGCCGGGGAGGGGCAGAGAGAGAGAGGGAGACACAGAATCTGAAGCAGGCTCCAGCCTCCGAGCTGTCAGCACAGAGCCTGAGGCAGGGCCCGAACCCACAAACCGCGAGATCATGACCTGGGCCGAAGTGGGCACTCAACCGACTGAGCCACCCAGGTGCCCCTGGGCAGCACATTTGAGAAAAATTTGCATCCAAATGGTTTAAATCAAACATTACTAAAAAAAAAAAATAAATAAAAGACATTGCTGAGAGTTCCAGCAGGCAGTTTTCATGGTTGCTGCAGTTCTGCAAGCCACAGAAATGGAGTCTTTGGGGGTCAAACTGGGTCCTTATTTCTATTTAGTGAGTTCATTGCCAGGAAAGGGAGCCCCAGGCCCAAGCTGATGGTTCCAGGGGAAGGAGGCCCCGAGTTAGGATGGTCACCGTCCCCCTGCCAAGTTGAGGTTGCCTTCTGTGCATGAACTAGTCCCCTCTTTATTCTGAGTGGAGACAGTTTAGCTGCAATGCCAGTCTTTGGAGCACAGCAGAGAGTGCCCACACCTAGGGGGTGTCTGGGAGGTGTGCGGCCTGCAGGCTTTCTCCAGGGGCTCCCCCTTCTGTGGTCACTGCCTGTGTCCGTGGACGTGCAGTACTCTGAGCAAAGGGCTTGGCGCCCAGGGTTGGGTTGCCAGGATTCACGTCCACGCTCCACCTTCCCCAACCGGGTCTCCCCAGCCACTTCAGCATCCTCTGCCTGTGCACCTGACAATAGAACCTGCCTCACAGGGGTGCACGGGGATTACATGAGTTCCTCCATGTTGAGCACCCAGCACGGTGCCTGGCACACACCTGGCTGAATGGAGGCTATGATTATTGCTACTATTAGGCAACAAGTGACTACTCTCTCCTCTGTCCTTCCCAACTAGCCAGAGACCCCAGAGGTGAAGGTCTTGCAGGACAGGCTGGCAGCCACAAACCTGAAGATGAGTGAACTCCGCAACCAGATCCAGTCGGTGAAGCAAGAGCTCCGGATGGCCCAGAAGGTATTTCAGAGCCAGCAGTCAGGTCTTCCTGTATGGCTGGGATTGGGAAGAGCATGGCCAGGACAATGGGTTCCATTCAGGGGCAGCAAGTGCTTGGCCCCATGAGCATCATGCTGCTTGCTCTGGGTCAGGTTCCAGGTCCAGTAACTTCCTTCTGTCGGCCCTTGATATTGACCATTGGTGAGTGGGGTTGCTGGCTGCCTGAGGGGCCCTCGTGGTGCCCTCGTGGTGCTCTCCCAGCCCTGGACAGAGAAGGACAGTGCCTTCTACCCAGGGAAAGTGCTACAGACTTTCCTTATGCTACGTGCACCCTAGTAGATCCCGGGTCTCTCCTTAATAAGCCACCTTGGACTTGGAAGCCTGCCAAGACTTGCCTCCTGCCCTCTGCTGTCTGTGATATTAGAATATGAATAGGTTGTTTGTGTATTAAAGGCCCCTTTCAAAGAAAAATACTTAGACTTGGGATGCAGGCCCAGCTGGTTCATTATTTATTTTTATTTACATAGTGAATTCTCTGGCATTTGTCTTCTCTGCTGGAACCACTCAGACTAGCCAAGATTTCCAAAACAGTGTTCTATTGTGGAAACAAGCACCGGAGACCGGGTGCGCTAGATTGGGTTCCCATGACAGGCTTCAGAGGGGCTCTGGGCACCAGCTGGAGTGTTTTGTGTCCACCTCAAAGCCTTGAGGTAGGGCCTGCACACCACTGTTCAACAGCTACAATGTTGGGCCCTTCTGGAACCAAACACCCCCAACTGACGTTCGGTAGCCCTCCTCCTTGCTGTGCTCAGACACGGCCCCTCGTCGGTGGCTTCTTACAGAGGTCAAGGCCCTGTGGCCATGTACTTCCTGTATCTATGCAGAATGATCTCAGTTTTCAGTGACAGGTGAACAAATTGAGGAAGCAGATTTTGGTCAACTTTGCAGTTCACTCATCCCGGAATATGTCAAGAGCAGAGAGGGCCGCCTCTGGGCATTGTTGGCAGTCCCTTGTCGGCTGTAAGCATCGCCAGGAAATGCTGGGGCCGGTGGGATTCCTGCTTTCCCAGGGACAGCGGCTCTGAGAACATGGCCAGCTGGCCCGCGAGGCAGGAGGAAGGTGTGTAGGCGGGGGCCAGGCCCTCTGGGAGCCCCATGCACCCTTGCACTGCTCCTTAGTAGGAAGGTGTGTAGGCGGGGGCCAGGCCCTCTGGGAGCCTCGTGCACCCTGCACTGCTTCTTAGTAGGGCAGCAGTATTAGGGCTCTTGTGGGGCCCTCTCTCCTGGCCTCACTCGAAGGGCCTGCCGTTTTCAGGTTTTGACCAGTGAGGTTGGGGAAGATGTGAATGTCCAGCAGCTCCTGTCCTCTCCTGGGACCTGGAGGGGTCGGGCTCAACAAATTCTCGTTCTGCAAAGCAAGGTGAGTGCGCTTCCTCTGGGCCCGAACAGAGGGCTCAAAATGCCCCAGAAAGGCTGACGCCGACCCACATTAGAGGCACAGAACCCTAAAAAGGCCTTGAGGCACTACAGAGCATGCTTGCAGGGCTGCGTCGTCTTCCATTCTCCCCCACCAGCCTGATTTTAATTTGTTATTTAACGAACAGGCATTTATATAACACTTACCATGTGCCAGGCACTGGCGCTTAACAAATGCCAAAACCTTTGATTTATTTTACCCTAGGCATATTTTCTTCCCTAGTTCATGTAAATTTGCGTGACTGTTATCCTTGCAGGCTTTTTCCAGTTTTGTCCAGATGCTTGAGGGCTTTTGAAAGTTTCAGTTACCCAGTAGACTTAGCCTTACCCCCCTCTTTATGTTCTAAATATTTCGGAGCATCTCTGGAGGCTAAGAGCTGCGGCTCCAGAGCCAGGCTGGCTTGGCTTCAAATCCCAGCTCTTGAGTCACCAGCTGTAATGGCCTTGGGCAAGTTCATTCTTGTCTCTGTGCCTCGGTTTCCTCATCTGTATCCTGTGGATAAGGATAGGAGCCACCCCACAGGCTTGTTGGGAGGACTGAATGAGTCTATATGTGTAAAATGACCAACGCAGTGCCTGGCATGGAGGAAACACTGTACAAAGGTTAGCTGTGGCTATTTTCCTTTTTTGCCTTCAAACCAAAAAACACAGGAGTAGGTGTGTAACTTCTACTATTTGCCAAGCACATGGCCTGCATCCCCAGGGACTTTCAAGTTCACAGTTCCTGGGTGGCTTTTGTCCTCAGGGCCTCATGGGGATCCTTGAAGCCAATACGAAGGTGCAGAAAGTCTCCAAAACACTGTAATTAATGACCAATGCGTGGCCTTGGGGTTCAAAAGACCCCAGTTTGAGTCTGCCTTCAGTTGCTGGTCTATAGGTTCAGTGACCTTGGGTAAATCACTTCTTCGCTCTGGGCCTCTGTCTCCTCACCTGTAAAATGGACGGTGTTGTGGATTAAATGAAATAACATTTGTAAAGCACCCAGCACAGTGCCTGGCCATAATAAGCACTCAGCACGTTTGTCGTTACCATTGTTAAGCTGCATAAATAAACGATTAAAAGTTTCATACTGTGTTCTCTAATGTTTAACTGGAATTACCACACATTGCCACGCGAGGGCGCTGATGTGTGCTTTCAAAAGCATGCTGTGGAATCCTAGTCAATTTTGCCCCAGCATAGGTTTACCCAACTGTGTTCCATCATTTATGTATCAACGTGGAAAGCAGGGTTAGAAGGACCCTAGGCATTATTCACTTCAACTCCAGTGCAACAAAGCCATCATTCTGTGGGGTGACCTCTACCTGCCACTGGCCAAGAGCCTATGAGTGCTGGACTGTGAGCTGTGGCCCACCCGGGCCAACTTGGGGTTTCTCAATGTTGCCTAATCCTAAAAATCACCCATAGCAGGTGATTAAAATGCAGGTCCCCGGGTCCTTCCCCTGGAGTTCTGACTTGTTGGTCTGGAGTAGGCCCTAAGATTTGTCATTCTAAGGAGCATCTTAGGGGTTCCCAGGCTCAGACAAGTTCAGGATACTGAATCCTTATAACTTTATACGGGGTGTACCCTTAGGCCCATTTCACAGATGAGGGACGCGAGATTCAGAGAAGTTAAGTAAGCTGTGCACATTCACACAGTTAGTGAGGATCTGAGCTGGTCTCTCAGCTTTTAAACGCCGTCCTCCCTCTGCAACATCTCCTGCAAGTGGCCAGGAACCCGTGGCCTCCCAAGTCTTGGGTGACCTGTCTGTTAGAGAGTTCTTCCTTGTACTGAGATCCTCCAACCTCTCTCTCCAAGGTTCCTGGAGCCACTCAGCTGCTTCTTGGTCTCAAATAGCCTCTAAGGGATGGAGTGATTTTTCTCATTGTCCAACTAAATCCCCCTCGCGTCCTCCCCTGTTTTGCTCAAGATGCCGCCTCAGGTTCCTCCCCCACCTCAGTGCCCCTCATATGGGGTTTCTGCGTCCATCAGACCCTCCCCTAGTGGGATTTCCTGTTGCACCGCAGGACAGCCTCTGAGTGGTTGAGTCTGTGGGTGCAAACCCACTGTGGAATGACTAGTTTACCGCTCTCAGGTTCGTGAGCTTGAGAAGCAGTTGGGACAGACCCGGAGCCAGTCTGCAGGAACATCCAGTGATGAGCCGTCTGTCTACCCAGACCCAAGGAAGCTGTCTGCACAGGAGAAAAACCTGCTGAGGATCCGCAGCCTGGAAAGGGAAAAACAGGAGGGCTGGGAGGTAATGATGTCCAGGGAGGAGGTTAGTCGGGCACGTGGCACCGGGAGAACATGGCCACCTCTGCAGGGCTCTGAGGCCCATGCGTTCATGAATTCTGAGTCACCCCTTACAGGCAGGAGACACCTGGGGTTTGGGGCACCTTAGTGCATGTTCCTCACATCCTGTCAATCCAGCTTGACACCCTCAGCCCATTTCATGAGCTTTAGGTGGCCCCATCCTGTCTGTTCTGGAGATGTTGGACCTGAAATTGTCACTGTAAAACGAGAGGAGAATGTCACGGCCCAGAGTGACGACCCAGGGACAGCATCAGGTGGGGCTCAGGGGAGGAGAGCTCCAAGCTGTGGGGAGGTGGGCAAGCTGGGACCAGCACCACACGCATCTCACTGGCTGTGCTGGGAGTGGCAGAAGCCAAACTCTGTCAGGCTTTTGCGACAAAGAATGTATTGGCCCATGTAGATGAACAGTCTAGAGGTGGTCTAGCTCCAGGCACAGATGGATCCGGGATCTGGGGACTTGGTCTTAACACCACTTTTTCCAGACAAGCTTCATTCTCTCCTGTGGGGACTCCTGGTAGTCCTAGTTTCTATCTTCCAGCCCAGCCCCCACAAACAAAGGGCTTCTCCTCCCCAGTAGTTCCAACAAAGTCCCAGAATTAAATGTCACTCGGCTAGCTTAGGCCATGTCCCCATCCCCGAGCCAGTCACGGCAGTTATGGTACGGGATGCTTTGACCGGCCAGCTTCAGATAGATCCCCTCCCCTGGGTCTGAGAGATGAGTCAGCCTCTCAAAAGTGGGCGTGAAAGTGGCGAGCGGGGCTTTCTCAAAGTAAGTAGAGGAAGCAGCAGGTGCTGGGAGGCTGGGCACGCCCACTCCTCGGCACTGGCCATGGGCTTCTTAACAGTGAGGACTTACCTTTCCATCAGGAGACTTCCATTTATGAGTGCCAACTCTGGGCTAGGCCCTGTGCTAGGAACGTTGTGACCATCGCTACGTCATACCCCCAGCGTCCTAGATCATCAGGTGTGAGGAGGGAACAGTGGGACTGGAGAAGCAGGCAGGGCCAGGTCCTCCCGGGCCTTGTGTGCCGGCCAGGGGGTTAGGCTTTTGTCTTGAAGGAGGTGGAAAACCACCAGAGGGTTTTAAGTTGTGGAGTTGTGGAGGGACGCAGACTGCTATGCATTTGGGGAAGGTCACGTGGTCAGGTATAGGGGGCTAGGTTGGAGGAGGTATGGGAGGCAGAAGCAATAATCCACTTGAGACATGACTGAGGACCTGAGCCAAGGCAGTAAGACTATAGCCAAAGGCCAGACAACCTGCAATATTTGAGGGTCGACTTCACAGGGCTCAGTGACGGGATGGGGGGTGGGAAGCAGAAGGGTCGTGAAGGACTTCCAGTGAATGTCACAGGTGGGTAGAGGAGACAGGGAGGAGATTCAAGGGAGATGGGGAGCTGGGATTTGAAAATGTTGGGTTGGAGGTGCACCTAGCTCAGACTTACACATTCACCCAGAGCAGAGTATGTTGTAATTGTTGAACCAATCACAAGCCACGATGCGGGTAGAAGGAATCTGTTCCCCATGTTCACTTCCTCTGCCAGATGCCCACTAAAGGTGAGGCAGCAGAGCAACAGGTGAACAGTGGCTGCCTCCTTGCAAAGATCAGAGGCCCGTCACCTCCTACTATTTGTCATTTCTGTAAATCACTTCCACAGGGATCTGAAAACACCTTCCCAGTGATAATTAACCCTCAAGACCAAAGCAGATTATGCCACCTAATGCCTAAACCCTCCTCAGTGTCGCAATCTCGGCTCCTGATGGTTTATCTAATCTGGACTCTGTCCCCTCACTCGCTGTGCTCTAGTCACACATGTTCTGCCCCGGGGCCTTTGCTCTTACCCTCATTTCCTTTAGTCTCTGCTCAGACGCCACCTTTTCAGAGAGGCCTTCCTGGACCATGCCATTGTCTCCCCGCCCCCCACCTCTCCCCTTCCCCACTTTTCAATAAGCATTCCGTCACCATTTGACATCTGTCTTCCCAGCTAGGATGTTAGCTCCTTCGGGAGAAAGACTTTGTTTTGTTCTCTGCTGTATCCCCAGCACCTATAGTAATGTTAAATACATAGTAGGCCCGCAGGGAATGTTTGAGAGGGGAGGGGAGGGGAGGGGAGGGGGGGGAAACTCCAAAGGCGTGGGCAGCACTTGAGTTGTCACTTTGTAGCTCATGTGAACGGGGCACGGTCCAGGCCGACGACGGGCGGCCGCACGGGAGCAGTGGGGCAATGCAGTGGGGTGGCACCTACTCATCCAGCTCTCGGTGGGGTGAAGCCACTTCAGTTTGAACCCTGGGCTTGGTGCTGTTCACTAAAGCATGGCTTTTCTCTTTCCTCAGCTCAAGCAGGGAGTGAGAGGCGGGGGCAGCCAGGCTCTCTGGAAGACACAGCCAGAGCTGGCGAGTGTTTCCTCTCCTGTCTGACCCAGGCAGAGCCAGGGCAGCTGCCTGGACACCTGTGTTCTCGGGCTGACGGAGGAGTGCTGTCACCCACTAGTGACATCTGTCACTCACCAGGGCGAGGGCAGGAGGCTCTGGGCCCACCTGACACCCCCGAGAGGCGAGGGCTGGGGGCCAGGGCACCGGCTCTGGGCCTCACCTGTGAGCGAGAGCCAGGGACCAGATGTGGCCGAGGTCCCATTCAGCCCCACTGCCCACGACTGTACTTCCTGATTACAGAAACTTGTGGGGGAGCGGGATGGCCTCCAGAGAGAGCTTGAAGAACTGAAAAAGAAGTTTGAGGGCATGAGGTCCCGGAACAAGGTGCTATCAAGCGAAGTGAAGACGCTGAGGAGTCAGATGGGGACCCTGGTGGAGAAGGGCAGGCATGACGATGAGCTCATCGACGCCCTCATGGTACGGCCCAGCCTCTCGGGCCCGGCGAGAGCCAGGCCAGGTCCCTCAAACACGGCCCCCACCCTGCCCAGAAACCCATGGCCCAGCCGCAGCCAGAGTGAGCCCTCTCTTGCCCCAGTATGCCACCTGCGTAACCCAGAAGCCCATCGCCCCCAACCCCCGTGGGTCCCAGCCCCAAAGCCACGCCCCGGGGACAGGAGCAGCAGAGGCTGCCCGAGCATGTGGACAGGTCGTTTTGCGTGGTGCTGGTGCGGGCTGTGGTGTCTGAGCCGGCCCCAGCCACTGGAGCTGTGGAGCCCAAAGAAGGAGACATGGACAGGGAGGAAGGAGATGGCATATTACACCCTGGGTGGTTTTTTCAACGAGGAATGGGAGGGACAACTGAGCGGGAGGCCAAGAAACTCTTATCCATGTGGCAGCCTAGAGCCCCTCCCCTTCTGGGCACCCGGGGTACACGTGGTTCATAATGGTGGGCTGCCAAGTCAGCCCCTAGGGTCGTAGATTATAATCCCATTTCCCACATGGGGAAACTAAGATTCCAGTTAGCAAAGTCTTCTGGGACTATACGCCTGAGTGCAAACCAGGTTGGTCTGACCATAAAGCCTTCCTTGATTAGCAAGGCCGCACTGCTTTCCTGACTCTAGCCTGGTCTTTTCTCTCTGAGACCGAGGCACCAGAGGTGTTGGTCTCTTGGCTCCCACGTTGTGCCCCAGGCCCCTGAGGTGGTCATGCCTGGCTTGGCCGGGGTGCGTGGGGGCACAGGTGCTGCTTAGGCACCACCCTCGTCCATAATAACTTCACCAGGTGGGGTGGTAGGTGGAGCACAGAAGACCTGAGCTCTAGGCCCGCATCTATGGACACTTTGCTGTGTGACCCTGGGTCAGTTGCACCTCCTCTCTGAGCCTCAGCTCCCAGTTTTTAAATAAGGGGTAGAGCTGGATGTCCTCTGAGGTCCCTGTGTGCCACCATATGTTACTGCAGATGGCATGAGGAAAGCTGCAGACAAGCCCCAGCCCTGCCGTTCAGAGCAGTGTGCCCTTGGGCTCTCTGGGCCTCAGTTTCCTCCACTCTGAGTTGAGGACAGCAGCCCCTTTCCCCATTCCCAATCACTGACCTGTCCTTTCTGATGGCCTTCGGGTGAAGCCCCCACACTAGTAGTCTCCTGGGAGCCCCTGCAGGGGAGGGGGCCTTGGTCAGGTGTTGAGGGATCCCTGGCGAGGGGTGCAGGTACTACCTTCAAGGCCATCTCCCAGCAGGGGGATAGGGTTTCTTTTTACCCAGGTATCTCCCACACTGGCTGAGGGGCCACCCTCCGAGCTGCTTTCTGTTGTCCTGAGAGCCCCTTGGATGTCCTTGGCCCAATCTCAGAGAAGGAAGTTGAGGACAGGAAAAGGCCATGGTTCCCACCTGCCTGGTTGAGCCCCGCTGAAGGCAGGCAAGGAAGGTGCCTTTCCTGCTTCTTAAGGGAACAGGGAGCATCCCACTATCAGGTTCCTGCAGGAGCAGGGAATGGATGGGGTGGGGGGCGATCTTCCCTGCCTGCCTTGCCCAGGGGTCATGGCTAACCCCGTCTGTCATCTTCCCTCCTGCTTGGCGCCCCCAGGACCAGCTGAAGCAGCTGCAGGAGATCCTGGGCAGCCTGAGTCTGCAGGAGGAAAAGACACGGGCATCCCAGCTCCGCCTGGACCAGCAGGTCAACAGTGAGGCTCAGCGGAGCAGCAGCCTCGTTGCCCAGCTGCGGGCCATGGTGGCCGAGAGGGAGGCCAAGGTGCAGCAGCTGGAGCTGGAGATCGGGCAACTGGGCGTGCAGGTGAGTAGGGCGCTGGCCTGCCTCGGCCCGCCGTCCATTTCCAAGCCCTGGCAAGTCCATCCACCATCCAGAGAAAGCTCAGCAACTGCCGCTTTCCACCTGCCTTTCCTCAGGCCTCGCCATGCCCTACCTGGCTCCACTTTGGCCCTCTGCTTCCCTGTGGCTTCCCACCCATCCCCACACACCTTTCCTCTCCTTCCTCTGATGGTCTCCCTTCTCTGCATAAAACCTGTCTGGGGCTCCACGTCCCCCTTGGCCTCACTCGATCCTCCAAGGTCCAGGCTCCTCCCAGCTCCCCCTCCCCCTCCCCACCTGTGGCCTTCACCCTCATGATCCAGGATGGCGGCTACAGTGCCAGGCTTTACATTCCCATTCCAGGCAGCAGGATGGCGAAAGGAAGCCACTCTCCATCCAACTTGCGAGGCCCCACGTGATAAGCAGCTATTGCTGCTACCCCCCCCTCCTGCATCTTCTCTTTTTAAAAAAAATTTTTTTAATGTTTATTTATTTTTGAGAGAGAGAAAGACACAGAGGATGAGCAGGGGAGGGGCAGAGAGAGGGAGACACAGAATCCAAAGCACGTTCCAGACTCTGAGCTGTCAGCACAGAGCCTGACGTGGGGCTCGAACTCACGGGCCGTGAGATCATGACCTGAGCCGAAGTCTGACGCTTAACAGACTGAGCCACACAGGCACCCCCTGAATCTTCTCTTCACCCTTCCCTTCCCCCACACTCTGGCCATGTGGCCACCGTTTAGCTCCTTACATGGCCCTGCTTTGTCCCCACTCCAGGCTTGTGCACATGCCTGAAGCATATGTCTTCCCTTTCCTCCCCCACTACCACTGCCCGTTCAGTGGTCCCCGGCCTTTAGGCCCTACCCAGTCATGAGCTTCTCCAGGGAGCCCCAAGGCCCACATTCTGTGTTCCATGCCCTTCCTGGGCACTCTCCCAACTCCCCGGGCACCCCCAGGCCAAACCTTTGTCACCCTATGTGATCATCTTCCTGTTTCCCCCTCTAAACTCCTCCTGAGGGGGCACACGCCATGGTGCCTCCTTGCCTGGCACAAGACTGAGCCCCCAGTGTGCTCAAAAGCGCTTAATGCTTGTCTAATGAGGGGGTTCCTTAGAGTTGTACCTTGGTGGGTGCCTTGCTGGCACAGCCTGGGCTGCTAGGGGTCAGGCACCGTGGAACTGTGGACTGTCTGTGACTCCTTCCTGTGGTGGTGATGCTCAGAGGAGAGGGGAATTGGTGGCCTCTGTGGCCTCCATGACAGGCACACAAGTCTCCCCATGGCAGAGAAGCCTCACAGCCAGGGTGACTGGGACAGCCAAAGGCATGTCACAGAGCAGCCCTGCCTTTCGTTCCCAGGGATCCAGGTCCAATCAAAAGTGTGGGAGCCCACGAGCCCCTCAGCCCCAGCCTCAGTGTGGTGTTGCCTGGGCTTGGTGGTTTGTCTCACAGCCATCCATCCGCAGAGGCCAGGGTGGCCTGGGACCTCAGAAGTGGCTGTGGTAGAAAATGTTGCAGCCCCTGAGGGTGAAGGCAGGGAGCCCAGGGTTGACCAAGGCCTAGGGACAGAGTATGTGTGGCCGTGAGTGGGGGCATTGCCTTTCAGTCCTCACCCTGCTTCCCAGTGGGAAGTGAAGTGTCAAGGAGCATGTGGGAACATTCCAGTATTTTCACTCCACCACTGTCCCGCCTCCAGGCACACAACACAGAACCAATTCTTACCTCAGAGGTCATCGGCTAATTGGGAGCCACAAGAGAAGTTGGTGCACACATCTCAGGATGGGCAGGGCTGGGGGACGTGCCAGGTTGTCTGGGACTCACCCCCAACTATCCACCCCTGATGGCCTGACCTCCTGCTGGGGGTCCTCCAGTGCTCCTTCTTCTGGCCTCACCAGCTATCCAGAAGCCCGAGGTGCCAGGGGGAAAGGGGGCCCGGGAAGCCCAGCCTCCCTCCAAGACTTCTGGCCCTTGCTGTGGCCCTGCCACCCTCTATGGCCCCAGGTGTCTGGAAAGTCCAAGCGTCTCCAGCTGACAAAGGCAGCCAGCCTCAGGTCACACGTGGCATTCACCCAGTGTGGGTGGGGCTGCTCAGAGAGGTGGGCCCACTCAAAGACGTCAGCCTCCGATCTGGCCTGAATCAAAGGCCACGCACTTCCCTTTGGGACCTGAATGTAGAACAGCTTCCTGGCCCGGTCACCACCTCGCTCCATGTAGCTCCCTTTCTGAAGAGAGGCATTATTAGATGTCATTATCATGCAACGAGTGCCTTCGCCAAACAGCCTCCCTTTTCTCTCCTGAAAAGAAGCCTCTTTCATATCCCCTAAAAGCCCCAAACTCAAGCCAAGGCCCCCTCCTGCCTTCTCCAGGCTTCTGAGCCAAAGCGCTGAGCGTCGAACCCATGTCTGTTCCTTGCAGTATCTTCGGAATAAAGGAGTGGGCGAGGGGTCCGGTGGGCCTGAGGTCAACCCTGCCTACGCTAAGTTCCTGGAGGACCCGGGCCAGACGAAGTCCCCGGCCTCAGCAGGTGATCACGTTGGCAGGCTTGGATCTTCTCGGTAAGAAAAAAAGTGGGATAGAGGGGTTGGTAAGTGAATATTAATTATTCAGAAAAAAGGCTGCCTCTGCTGGGAAGCCACGGGTGCAGTTCTGAGATGACTGTGCCATCCGTTGTCCTTCCAATCTGTGGGCCTCTCCTATTCCATTAGCCCTGCGTCTGCAGGGAGGAGCCGGTTAGGCTCCAGGTATTATTCCTGCGAGAACACCTGGTTGCAGCTCCCTGTAATATCCTCTCTGATCTGGCCTTGAAACGCACCTGCTTCTAGGATTCTCAAACAGACCTGTGTTGGATTGCTCAAGGCTATGATGTCTCCTGGTTCTGTCTCGTCTTGAGCAAGCAAGAGTTCTGGAAAGAAGGGCAGCAAATCCACAGGACTGCCCCGCCAGGCTTGCTGTGAGGACCAGCACCAGCCACCTCCTCGGGCTCCCCGGATCCCGGCCGGCCCCTGCTCTCCTCCCAGGTGGGGCCCAGCCGGCCTTCCCGTGGTGATGAGCCCCTTTTGCCTTCACACAGCTCGGTGACCAGCCTGGGCCACACGCTGGTGGAATCTGCTCTCACGTGGCCTTCTCTGCCCAGTCCTCATGGGGCCTCAGCCAGGTATGAACCCAGGATCTCAGAGCCCTCACAGTCCTTCCCATCCTTGATTGGTCGGCCAGTTCTGCCATCCCATCGTAAGGAGGGGAAACTGAGGCCATGCCAAGTCAAAGGACTCTACCAAGTTTATATAAAGACATGGAGGGTCAGGGAGGCCCAGTGCCTTAACCAAGGTGGTAGAGCAGGTGGCTTCAGAACTTGAGTCTTGGCCTCTGGCTTGCAGTTCAGTGTCCCTTCCTGCTACCACAGAGTTAACACAGGGACTTCCAGGGCCTGGAGCCCAGCTCCTCTCCTTGTCTTCTCTTCCCCACTGAGACTCAGTCTCTAGGGCGAGAATTTCATGTCATACGGGTTACCACTTTAAGTCACTGATATCCCCTCAGCTGTCTGGCCCCTCTTTGTTGTTAGAATCAAGCCTAGTACTTAAATGGCTCCTTTGTTTTCCTGCCAGCTCGCAGACAAATGGTAGCTTTGTCCTGCCTCTGAGCCCTGTCGTGAGCCCTGCCCACTGTCCACTGGAGCCATGCTCCTGGCGTCAGCCCCCATCTCCGCCCCTTAGGCAGGTCAGCTCGGGTTCCGGGCCAGGCCTCTGAGTGGCCCTAGTCCACATATGACTTGCTCTATGGCTCCGGGCTTTCCTCCTCTCTGAGATGCTGTTTCCTAAGTAGCGCCTGAGACACTTCTAGCCTGACTTTTGGCAGCACAAGGGACCATGGGCCAAGGCCAGCCCTGCAGCGGCCCCACCCATCAGCCTGGAGTCACAAGGGCACTTGGGGGGAGAGTGGGCTACTCTGAGTGACAAGATGACTACTTCCAAGTGTGGGAGGCCTCCTGGGGCCACAGGGAGAATGGACAGGCTCCGTCTCTCTGAGGTTTTAGTCACAGTAGTGGGAGTGGAAGAGGGACAAGATGGCCCTCAAGATCCCTTCCAGGCCTGTGGGGCCGTCACCTTTGCGCTCCACAGGGAAGCAGGAGCAGATGTGCTCCTCAGCTGTCCAGACTGCTGGCTCTCAAACTTATTTCTTGCACGTTACACAAATATTTACTGAACTTGACCACGTGCAGGCCCTACCCTCATGGAGCACACAGACCTCTTCCCACAATGACAGGACGAGGAACGTGTCTATTGGGGCTGGCGTGGTGACCGTGATGGGGTATCTGGGAGGAGGGCAGGGGGGAGGGGTCAGGCCCCTTTCTCCTGCAGCTCCCTCCTACACACACCCCCTCACAAGAAAATCATGGAGGTGGCTTTGACCAGAGCTTTCTGGACTGCAGTGTGCACACAGATCAGCTGGGCATTTGCCAGGTTAGATGCAGGTTTTGACTTGGCAGGTCTGGATCCACAGGCACTGATTCAGCAACTATATAGTTTGAGCAGCAAAGCCTTAAAGTATATTTAGGAGTCAGAACATGGAAGAGTCTGCAGTCCTCAGGGCCCATCTCATCCAAGCCCCTCAACTTTCAGAGGGAGGACCCAGGCCCAGACAGGGTAAGAGACCTGCCCGAGATCACAGAACAAGTTAGCCCCTGGGCCCGCACCCCCCCAGCCCAGCTCTCCATGTGTCCTGCGTTGCTAGAAAAGCAAACAGAGGATCACCAGGGCCTCGGGGGGAAAGATGAGGGCAAAGCAGAGAGCAGCTTGGGACTCACAAGTGGGCTCTGGGGGGTTGGGCTGCGGGCAGAGTTCACCTTCCATCTGGGCTCCAGCCAGCAGGTGAGGGGCTAGTAGGCAGGCCCAGTGGCCAGGAGGGGAGCAGTGACGGGCTAGATCAGCACTGAAGAAAACTGACCAAGTCACAAAGTGGGCTGGGCTTGAGGCCAAGCCAGGAGATGCAGGAGGGCTGGGACAGGCTGATAGGGAGACAGAGGCTAGGCATGGTGGCCAGACCACTGGCCACACAGGTGCCCAGGACACCCCAGGCCCTCAAGGGCCTAATTCCATAGCAGCCAGCCTAATTCCATGCCCCTCCAGGGACTGGATAGACAGAGATACTGATGCAGCTCTAGCCATAGTGAGATCTGGCTGTGCAGCCAGCTAAGTGAGGTCTAGAGACTTCAGCAGGTACAGGAATAGTGGGCTGAGAAGAAGCTGGAGGAGGAAGACCATCAGGGCCAGGATGGATGGGGTTGGCTTCCTTCTCTGTGGCTATCTCTGAGGATCCCTGAATGTTCTTCCAGTCCCTCCTACCATCAGAGGTAAGTGTGTGTCTTCAGATAGCCCCTCAAATGACTTCTGCCCTCTGTACCCACCCTGGTCCCCAGGTTCTCGGACTCCCCAGAACAAAAGGGCTGGCAGGCACAAGTGACAGAGTTCAAGGCCCTCTGGCAGGCTGCTGAGGTGGAGCGCGACCGGCTCACCGAGTTTGTCACTGTCCTACAGAAACGGTAACACATGGCGCCCAGGGACATGCTGTCATGGGCCTATGTGGATGGGGGTGTGGACGGCCTGACACAAGGGCATCTTTCTTGGACAGGGGCCAGGCCTCATCTGTGACTGGGTCCACCTTCCTCGAGAGTTTGGCTCCCACAATGTTGGTCTAGGGCATTCCCAGTCATCACTTGTGTGCTCAACTAAGTGCTTCACAGCTTTGGGGCCCTATTGTCATTCTTGTGGTTTGTCCTGTCCTGTGTGTATCCAGTGGGACTGCTATATGCATGTGGACATGGGGTGGGAGTCTCAGGGGAGAGGCTCTCTGGAGTAGGTAAATCAGTCAGATGAATCCACAAATAATTGAAGTCTCTGATGAACATGGCACCGTACTTGGCACCATTGGGAAATTTGGTGGCAAGACAGAGGCTAGACTGATGTCTGAATTACAGACAGCAAGAGAGCCGCTCATAGATGGGAGGTGAAACTGCTCTGGGGAGGAGGGAAGCATGTCTGCCTTGGGTGCCTGGGTGGACCAGGAGGTATAGTTTTCTCCAAGGGGTTGTCGACAGACTTCCATTCAGATAAATCAGTGCTCCTTGCTCAAGTGACCCTTTTGGCAAGAATTGCAGGTACTCAGGCCAACACATGGCCCAACCATGTGACCTCCACAGTGGAAAATATAAAGGATAGCACTGACTTCTTACCCTAACAGGGCAGGCAGCCAGGGCTCTTTGGTGACAGACAGTAGAAACCACTTCTGGTAAGTTAAGGGAAAGGCAGATTTTTGGAAGGTGTTGGCAGATTTTAAGGGGCAGGGCAGGAGAGGAGCCCAAGGAGGGGCTTGGGAATCTTGGTCGCAGGACCCCTTGGGTGGTCTCTCCTGGGGCACTGGAACAACACAGGCCCAGTGGCTTCTTATGCCAGCAGGTTGTGGGAGAGAAGGTCTAGATGGCCTGGGTTGCTCTCATGTCCATCCCTAAACACAGGCCAGGCACCTTGCTAGAAGGACCTCCAGGTACTCACAGAATGGAGGAGGGGCAGTTTGCCACAGGGAAAAATCGAGTACCATACCAAAGAAGGAGTGAGCGGTGCTGGGAAGTGGTCGATGAATGGCCATTCCCGAAGTAGTGAGAAGTGACTAGCTACAATTATTTTCTTTTCATGTAGTACATAGAGAAGATACGAATTTCAGATATACTCAGGGATAAGAGAAAAGTCACATTAATTTCTCTTCTGTAATTGAAATATAATGGACAGCACAAGTCTCTAGTCTATCAAATGGAAGAAACATACTCAATTTAGGATTTCTCTCCCATTTCTCTCGAGCTTCACCTGAATTTGGGGGATTTTGTGAACAAAAGTGACTTAGTTATGTATTGCTGTGTAACAAACCATTCCAAAGTTTGTGGCTTCGCACACAATGGTCTATTCTTTCTCGTGGCTCTGTGGGTTACCTAGGTAATTCTGTTCCACATAACGCCAGCCAGGATCACTCATATGACCTTGTTCCGCTGGAAGGTAGACAGAGGTGCCTCAGTTCCCTTTACTGGCCTCTCTTTCCTTGTGGTATTTCATCTGTCAGGGCCTCTCTCCATGCAGAGCTGGGATTAGGGTGAAGTGAGCAAGGTACCCAGAGCACAAAATTTAAGGAGGCACTCACTTTCAGAGTCATGCACATGTGTTTTTCTCTCAGCTGATACCCCTGACCTTTTTGGGTTCACTCTGCGGCTTTATGTCATTTTAGGGTGTGAGGGAGCTCTCTGTGGCTCTCTCAGGCCTGTTAGCCAAGACACGTGGCCATTTCTACTCTCGGGCATTGCTGTCTCCCTGGGCTGTAACTAGGAAACAGGGCCCAAGCTCCCTCTGCATTCGTATCCCCTCCAAACTTATTTGGATTTCTCACCCCAAAGTACAGGACCTGCCTTTCTCTGAGATCCCCAGTTCTATTCCTTTCTTTATCTGGAGAGTCTGTTCTGGTCTTGCGGGGGGGCGTGCGGGAAGGCAGAGTTTCCACCTCTCATACACGCCCTATCACTTCTAGCTGCCTCAGGCCCCCTGCAATTCCCCAGTCTTGTGTCCACATCCTGGAGAAACCACTGTGCTCTGCTTGGGATTCCCCTCACTCCCTCACCTGGTGCAGGTAGACTGAAGATAAAAAGAGAGCTGGTCATCTGTTTCCCTTCTCTCAAATCCTGTGTCCAGTGTTCTGTGTCTCTTGACCTGCTGTCCAGTGTCTGAAACAGTATGTTTCATACGTTTTAGCCATTTTTCTAGCTGTTTACACAATAGGAGGGGCTAGTCGGCTTAGTCTGCCATGACAGAAGTCACTAAATTTGTCTCCTTTTGAAAAGCATATAGTTGGCTTTGTTTTTAAATTCAATCTGTGAATTTGTGTTTGAGGATGTGATTTTAACCCATTTTAATTTTTACAATATTTGGAAATATTTTGATCAGCTAAATTAATAGTTTCTATTTGCCATGATTTTTCTTTGCTCCTTTTTCTCCATTCTCCTCCTTTATATTGGCTGGGTCGAGTTTTATTTCCCTCTCTTCTATACAAGTTTGGAAGTTATATATTCTATCTTCTATTTTAGTGGTCACCTGTACTCTTTTAACATAGAGTTTCAGCAAGTCTAAAGTCAGTAGAATTCTTTATTATCCCTTTGAGCAATAGGATACATTTAAAGTTTTGCTTTGTTTTGTTTTAGTAATCTCTACCCCCAACACAGAGCAAATCTCTGCTCAAATTCACAATCCTGAAATCAAGAGTCGCTTGCTCTCCCGACTGAGCCAGCCAGGCACCTCGAATAGTTGAGAATGTTTAATTCTGATTCCCTTTTTGTGTCTTCCATGTTACTGGACTCTAATATTTGTCTATTACAGCACATTCTTTTTACAAAATCCTCCAAAATTAACCCTCCAAATTCACCTTTTAAAAAATTAGTCAGTATCCCTTTACTTCGGCCAACGTATTTAAAAATGTCTTCCTTCACTGTTCCTTCTCGCATCTCAATCTCCCCTCTGGGTTCAGTTTCCTTCTTACCAAAGTGTGTCCTTTAGTTCAATAAGACTACGTGGATGGTAAACTCCCTGTGTCTTTATTTACTTTGGAATCTTTATTCTGCCTTTCTCTTGAAGGACAATTTCCCTAGGCATAGAATTCTTGGTAGCTGGAGGCCATGAAAGCCCATTGTCATTGAACATCCATTGTTGCCAAAAAGAAATCTGCTATCAGTTTGATTGTGGTTCCTTCCTAGTTATGTCCTTTCTCTCTAGAAGTCTTTTCAGATATTCTCTTTGTCTTTGGTATTTTGAAGTCTCCCTGTGATGTGTCTAGGTATTGTATTTCGCTTTATTTTTCCTACTTAGGAACTGGTATGCCTTTTCTTTCTGAGGACTTCAGTCTATGCATTGCCAAGGACTCACTCCACGTGTTGCCTCTCCCCATTGTTTCATTTCCTTTCATCTAAAATGCCTCATCGGGAAGCCTGGGTGGCTCAGTGGGTTGAGCAACTGACTCTTGATTTCAGCTCAGGTCTGATCTCGGGGTTCGGTGAGATCGAGCCCTGCGTCAGGCTCCCTGCTGAGCACAGACCCTGCTTGGGATTCAGGATTCTCTTTCTCCCTCTCTCTCAGCCCCTCCCCTGCTTGCATATGCTCACTTGCTCTCTCCCTCAAAATAAATAAACTTTAAAAGTAAAATAAAATAAAATGTCTAGTCAGCCTATGTTAGACCTTCTTTCCTCTGCAACTCTTAAAGTTTCTCAATATTTTGGGTTGATAACTGCATAGTTTCTTCAAATCTGCTTTCCATCTCATTAAACCTCTTCAGCTACACTTCATTTGCCATGAAACCTATTTTAATAATTGTAATTTTCATTTCTAGCAGCTCTTTTTTGTGTAAAACCCCCTGTTCTCTTTCTTCTTTTTAAATGTTTATTTATTTATTTTGAGAGAGAGTGAACAGGGAGAGGGGCAGAGAGAGAGAGAGAGAGAGAGAGAGAGAGAGAATCCCAAGCAGACTCCACACTGTCAGCTCAAAGCCTGGTGTGGGGCTCAAACTCATGAACCACAAGATCATGACCCAAGCTGAAATCAGGAGTTGGATGCTCAACCCACTGACCCAGCCATGCACCCCTCCTGTTCTCTTTCTTATATTATTTGTTCTTTCATTAAGATTTCTTGCTTTTCTCCTTGTAATAATATGAAACCTACTTCATCCCTTGAAAGTTACTCTATCATCTTCATTACTTCTTGGGACCCTAAGTAACGTCTGTTACCTCCCCCTCACAGTGAATTATTTCTCTATGTGTTTTGTATTTTTGTGTTGTTTCTGTAAGCTTTTCTTCAATGCTATTGTTTTTTCCTTCCTGTGGGAATTCTTGGGTTATGAAAGTGCTCCTACAGAATGGTTCTGCTTTTGTTTCTGTGGAGCTTTGGGGGTGTCAGTGGTCTCTGAGTGGTACTTTATTGGTTTAGGATTTCCTGAGCACCTGAAGTGCTGGCCTTGTGGTTCAATTTTCTCATGATTGGTGCTTCCCCACCAACACATTTAAGGCCCAGTAGATTGCAAGCTTCCTTACCACTTCCCCAGCTTACAGATGGATTTTGTCTAAGTCTCTTATTGCAAACAAGGCATTCTTTTGAGGCTTCCAGAATTATACAGGGAGCTTCCTTGCAGCTTGCTGCCTTATAGGAGCCCACGTTTACAGCTTCTACACTCAACATTGGCCTCAAAATACCCGCTTTATGCGGTCCCTGGGTAGCTCAGTCGGTTAAGCATCAGACTCGATCTTGGCTCAGGTCATGATCCCGTCCCGAGTCAGGCTCCACACCGAGTGCAGAGCATGCTTGGGATTCTCTCTCTCCCTCTCTTTCTCTGCCCTTCCCCTGCTCATGCTGTCTCTGTCTCAAAATAAATAAATATTTTTTTAAATCCTTGCTTTATGTGATTGGAAGTTTTATTAGTTTTTCTATTACAAACATATACTTACTTATTGTAAAAAGCCTCCTTTTCCAACCTGCCACTCCCCATTTCTCATAGAAAAGAACTGTCAGAACTTCTAAAATGTTTTCTTTGCACATCCAACAATGTATATGCAAATATATGTGTATACATATGTGCACATATATGCACATACATTTTTATTAAAAGATGGACTCACACTAAACACATCTTTACATTTTTGTTAAGAGTATACCACTGTTAGGTTTCTAAATGTGGAATCATTGGGTCATAGAATGTGTACATTTAGATGTTTACAAATAATGGCAGGTTACCATTTTAAAATGAATTCATTTACATTCCCACCAATGACGTGAACTATCCACCATTTCCCCATAGCGTCACGTCTACAAAGTTTTATCAGTGCATAATGTTTTTGCCAAGCTAATTAAGGAACACTATTATCTCATGGTTGTTTTTATCTACTTTGCTATAACTAAAAGTGGGGATGAGCATATTTTTCACATGTTTCCAGCCTTTCACATGTTCTTTTCTGTTAAATATATATTCATACTATTGCACATTTTTAAAAAGAGTTGTTTATATTTTTTCTTTACATCTGTAAAGAGCTTTTTATGAATTATGTATATAGTATTATGTATGTAATAAGTAATATTACATACATTTGTCTCCATAAAGGTCTTGTATCATTTATATTAAATTAGTTCCTGGGCATGGGGACCTCCTCATCTGAGCATCCCCACATTTAAAGTCCTCACGAAAGCAAAATTTTTAACATGAAAACATTTACTAATGACTTGCCTTACTTAACATTGTTCACTTTACGCTGCCATTTGGGTCACTTTGGTCAGACTCTTGAAATATAATGAAAATCAATTACAAAGTAAAAAGGCAAATTAACAAAAAATCTGGCATGTCATGAGGTTGATGCCCACGATGTTAGGGAGCTGTTAGAAAGCCATGGCAAACAAGAATCTAGCTGAATTAGCCCAGTAAATGATTAAAGAAGAACAAATCGGTGAGAATGCAGACTGGTCAAAAGAGAACACTCAGAATACCAGTGAGAAGTGTCGAGTAGAAAGTGAAATCTGCAGAGGCCGGAGAAGGAGCAGCCCCAGACCAGGCCACAGGTGGAGGAATGAGAAGGATCTGAGCTTTTGTGTGTGTTTAGAAGAAAAGCTGTGGAGCCTGCTGATAAATTGGAAGCAGAGAGCAGTGAGGAAGAGAGAGAAGGCAAGAATGACGCTCAGGTATTTAGGCCAAGCACCTCTAATGGGCGGTGGTGACATTTATCAAGATTCCTCGAGGATGGCACATTTTGGGAGGAGAAACCAAAAGTTCGATCATTCCTAAACGTTGTCAGACTTCATAAAGTGCTTTACCATTTATATGGTGTTTGCTGTTAGTTTCTTATTTCCCCTATCACGAACCTAAACAAAATGCAAACATTACTGAAATACACGGCAGGAAAATGAAAGCCCCTCACCCACGGACGACAGTCAGTGACTGCTGCAGACCCCTGCTTTCAGCTCACTGGCTGAATTTCGTTAGCACTAGTATCTATTTGGTTTTAAATTTTTAATCTGTTATAAATGTTTTAATTAGGTCATATATTATGCATAATCTTCTGCTACTTATTTCACTCAGTAATAAATCTCAGACATCCTCTTCATATCAGCACACATCCTTTTTATGGTTAAGGAGTTTTTTTACTGCGCGAATCCACTATGATTTATTTATCCTTTATTTATATAAATGGCATTATATTGTATATATTCTTGTGGCACTTGTTTTTTTCTTCACCAGTCCTACAGTCTGGAGATCCGTGTTTATACACGTAGCTCTGCCTCCTTCTTTCCTGTTGCCGGAGCAGTGCTGTCCGTTAGAACTTTCTCTGATGCCGGAGGTGTTCTGCAGCTCGGCTGTCCAATGCAGCGGCCGTTAGCCACATGTGGCTCTGATCACCTGAAATGTGGCTAGTGTGACTGAAGAACTGAATTTTTTGTTTCATCTTCACTAAGTTCAACTTAAAACAGCTACATGTGGACATGAGGCTGCACTGTGTTGAACAGGACAATCTGTCATATTCTGTCACATTCCGTGGTATGAATATTTGCCACTTGTCCTGTATTCCCCCTGTTGATGGGCCTATAGGTTTTTTTTTTTTAATTTTTTTGCTCTTGCAAATTAAGTCTCAAGGAACATGCTTGAACAAATCATGTTAGTAGCTGTATAACTGTGTTATTGTACAGTTTTGTGTTAGCAGTTGTATACTGTTCATAACTGTCACCATTCTGCTCCTTCTTGACTCTTACCACTTCCTCCAACACTGTAAATTTCCAGGCCTCCACTCCGATTTGCATATGTGTATACGACCCTTTGCTTCGGCTAAATTTCAGGAGTGCTGGCCTTCTAGCTGAGCCTTTCATATCACAAAAGTCTGGAATGCCATACCTAGACTCAGGAAAGACCTTAGGCCCAGCCCCAGCGGATTAAACAAATCCTTCAGGTGCAATGGCCGAATAGCAATATCTTCAAGTCCCAAGAACTCAGGATAGACATACAGAACATAATAATGACTAATAACAATAAATAATAATAAACAGAAAGCAATCACTAACCCCAAGGAAAGCAAAAAATTAAATAAGAAAACGTGATCATTACCGTGCCACATGTCTAAATAATCGCTCTAACGTAACCTGTGGTAGACAGGATTTTGTCCCCTATGCCCTTTGCTTGCTGCTGTTGTGCCTGTGACTACTTTATGATATGTGCAAAAGGGACTTTGCAGATGCAATTACAGTTATGGGCCCTAAAATAGGAAGATTATCCTGGATTACCAGGTGGGCCCAATCTAATCACTTGAGCCCTTAAAAGCAGAGAAATTTCTCCAGCTGGGGTCAGTGAGAGAGATGCCGTGGAAGAAGTCAGAGAGAGTCAAAGCATGCTAAGGGGTGTCTGGTTGGCTTTGAAGATGGAGAGGGCCGGGTGGCCTCTGAAACATGAAAATCACTCATCCAACAGCCAATGGGAAACAGGGACCTCAGTCCTTCCATTGGAACTGAATCCCTTCAATAACTGAATGAGCCTGGAAGTGGATTTTCCCCCCAGAACCTCCAGGTAAGAACCCAGGTCAGGCAACACCAGAACCTGGAGCAGAGAAACCAACAGAGCCTGCCAGACCTCTGGCTTACAGAACTGTGAGGTGATAAGTGTGTGTTGCTTTAAGCTGCTAAGTTTGTGGTAATTTGTTACAGCAGCAATGGAAAACTAATACACCACCTACTATTAATTCAGCTGGGAAATGGTAATGTAACTACACTGGGAAGCGGAGGGGTAATTCTGTTTGGTAAGGGGAGAAGGCCAAAATAAAACTAAATTCTCATGTTGCACGACAGGAAATTGAAAGATTATATTGAAACCTTAAAAATAGCAGCATGGGCATCTGTAGAAATATGGCAGTAAATATTCAGAGAAACAGCTAAAAGTGTTCTAAGTGATTGCTTCTGGAGAGCCGGAAACGGGAGTGGGCAGGAGTGCGAGAGGCTGGCGAGCTTTTCATTTTGAGCCTTGGAGAGAACTATATGGTTTTCAAACGCACGTTCCTCGGTTCCTGCGGTAAAAATAAAGAACCGGTCACAGCACCGCCAGGGCACGATGTGCCTGCTTCTCTGAGGGCCAGAGCAGGTGGGCCGGGGGCTGCCCCTGCCTGCCCCCGGCGGATGGACGGCAGCCCCTCCTGTCTCATCACCAGGGTGGAGGAGAGCAACAGCAAGCTTCTGGAATCAGAGAAGAAGCTGCAGGAAGAACGGCAACGCACCGTGGTGCTGGAGCAACACCTGGAGAAGATGCGCCTGGAGCCTGGGAGGACGTCAGTCTGTCAGAGAGCAGCCCCCAGGAGCAAAGCAGGTAGGGGCTGGCCCAGGGCCCCCAGCCCGCAAGGGGTGGCCTTGCCGTTAACGGGAGAGCCCGCCAGCGGCAACCACTTCAGCCCCGTCCAGAAGCATGGGGGAGCGGAGGCCTCCATCGGGGCGGAGCTCAGCCTGCCCGTGCTGTTGGGTGTCTCCTTCCCCAGGCCTCCTCTTCAGAGCCAGGAGCCCCAGAAGGCCATCAGCCCACGTGGCTCTGACCCAGCCCACCCGTGAGCCCTCATAAAAGTGGCAGTGCCTCTGCTAAACGCTCTCAGCTACCACCACCACTGCCTGTCACCCCCACCCCAGCCCTTAACCCTCTGTCCCCAGCTGACTTTGTTTAGAGTTGGTCATGAGGCGAAGTTGGCCTGCTGAGGAGGCCAGAACAGCAGCAGGGGCTGACCGGGAGAAGAATCCCTCTCTGCTTGCTACAGCAGCAGAGCATAAGCAGGGATGGTGTGGCTTCTCCGCAGGCTTGGGGACCAGGCTTCTCTGTCTTGTGTGCCGTCATGTTCAACATGTGGCTTCCATGGTCTAAGATGGCCAGTGGCCAGTTCGGCCTCCCCACCAGCAGCACGAAGGGCAGGAGGGAAGGGACGTCCTGCTCCTTACCTTTTAAGGGCATGGTCCTAAGGTTGCTCGTGTCACTTCTGCCTTCACCCCCTGACCACACCTAGCTGCACAGGGAGATTTTGTTGTCCTAAAGTAAAAGATCTAGTGCTGTAACCCAGTCGTTCTCAAGGTGCCGTCCCTGGACCAGCAGCATCGGCCTCTTGTGAGGCTGTGGCCTGATGGGGGTGCAGGATGCCAGAACGAGAAGCCAAAGAAGGAAGAATCGCTAGTGTGGAGGGCCCAGGCCTGCCTCCCTCTGACGTCCCCATCCCAACCTCCTACAGGCTCTGGAGGGAGGTGCTACCCCCATTGCCCTGTCTCTCAACACTCCACTACATCCCCCAGCCGTCCCCTAGCAAGGACACTCAGACCTTTGTCCCCAGCCCAGATGAGATGAGAACATTTCAGAAGGATGTGCCAGAAGTGAGGCACAAAGCAGGAGTTGTACCCTTCTCCTTTCTCCAACCAGCAGGGCCCAGGACTCAAGGGGCCTTCCAGGAGCTGCTGAGAATCCAGGCTGGGGAAGGTCCCTGTAACTTACCCTGCTGACTCTCCTGGGCCCTCAGGAACAGGTCCTCTAGGGAGGTGGTATTTCTAGGCTTTGGGCTTACCTCCTGAGTAACCTAACCAGGGGGTGCTAAGCCACGGCAGGAAAAACCGTTTTGGTTCTGCCCAAATAGCAAGGGGCAGCTGCCTGAGAAAAAGTGTTCATGTGGCTTTTGCCACCTGCTGGCCTGTGACATGGGCAGAGCACCACCCCATCTGTAGAATGAGGAGACCTGATTCTGGAATTTGGTCCCTCCACAGCAGTTCCGCTCCAGTGGGGAAGATGGATAATAACCAAACAAGCCACTAAAAGACATGCTAAGTCAGAGGAGGTGATAGGAGGTGCTGAGAGCGGCTGGTTTCCATCAGGGACAGGGGGCTAGTGAAGACCTCGTGGAAGAGTTGACATCTGAGCAGAGACAATGGCAGGGACGGGGGATGAGCACACAGATGCCCGAGGGAAGACAAGTGCAAGGGCACTGTGTGAGAGCTTAGCTGGAGGCTTGAAGGAACAGCAAGTGAGGCCGGAGTACAGCCGGCCAGAGGGGAGGGGAATATGAGGCAAGGTCAAAGAAGTGACAAGGTACTAAAGAGGTGGTCAGATCACATAGGTCCTGAGGTATAAATGTGAGTTCACCCGGCCTCACAAAGCTCTAGAGGCAAGAACTATCATCCTCATTTTACAGATGAGAAAACCAGCTCAGAGAGGTTGATGGTTTACCTGAGGCCACACAGCAAGGGGGTGAAAGCCAAGTCTACTGACTCCAGGCGATTTTCCCTGGGCCACACTATCCCTGAGAACCACGCCGCCTCTGAGGGCCTTTTCAGCACTGGTTTTCTGATGCTGTGATTGTGCCCAAATTCCCTACCCATTGGCTTTGATTTCCTTTTCTGAGCATTCTATGGCCTCTGGCCCTGGCCACACTGGATCCCCTGTAGGTATGTAGGGAGCGGCTGGTCAGGGTTGGCTCTGGAGGTGGGGGTCCAGTGGTGTGAGGGCATCAGAGGCAGTGATGGTCTAGACTCAGGCTCAGTGTGCAGGGCAGATCTCAGTCCCAGCTGCCTTCCAGAAACTTGTGAAGTGCAAAGTTGGAGACAATAAGGAGAGGAACCACCCCGCTACAAGGCAAGCAGAATCAGGGCCGTAGCAGACAGCACAGCCTGAGTCCAAGGGAACACAGAGCAGGCATCAGGAGGGCTTCTAGAGGGAGGCAGCCCTCGTGCTGCATCTTAAAAAAACCTTTTTTTTTTTTTTTAAATTGAGGTATAGTTGACACACAATGTTAGTTTCAGGTGTCCAACATAGTGATTTGACAACTTATATGTTATGCTATGCCTTGTCCTTCATCTTGGAGGAAGTATAATGTTTCAGCAAATGGAAAAGCAGGAAATAGGCAGTGGAGGTGGGGAAGGAGGGGAGAAGGAGAGCATTTACACAGGGCCATGGCGTCATCACAGAAAGTGGCTGCCACTGCCCCACAGGTCTGCCCACCTCCAACACCAGGCACAACCCGAACGGGAGTGAAAGGAAGGACCCCTCCTTCACCCAGCTCTCCAACGTGCCCGTGGAATCACAGATGGAGGAGCTGACCACCAGGTGCTCTCTTGCCCCACCTTCCTGAGGGTGGCATCGTCTGGGTGGAGGTGCTTCGATGGGCGAAAGGATCGTGTCCCTCCCCCTTTGACTTCTGTCTGCCCCGAGGTCGGCCTGCCTGGGTTCTGGGCCTGCGATTCAGCAACTGGCAATCAGAGGGCAGAGAGACCCAGCCATATCCCTGATGACCTCAAAGTCCCAAGAGAAGTTTTACCAAGTGTGGGTTGCTAAACCCTCTTTTCTCACTCAAACTTTTCAGGGTCAGAGACCATGGTATTCAAAGAAGGATGGGGAGGACCTTTACAAAGTAGTCCTCCTCCTCGAGGCAGCCAACATTCGGGGGGATACTGGGTGCCAGGCCCAGGGCTGTGGGTGGGCCCAGAGAACAATCCCACATGGTATTCCCCCAAGGGTCTGTGGGAGGAGGGGACGGGTCCAGGAGAACCCTGAGCCTAAAGAACAACCATGCCAGCAGCCCTGTTCCCAGCGCCCTTTACACATGCACGCACCCCCATGTATGCCCGCACGGCCACGCTAAGCCCTTTCTTCATGTGGCCCAGGCTGGCCGTCCAGGCGGAGGAGAATGAGATGCTGAAGGCCGCCCTGGGCAGCGCCCTGCGTGGCAAGGAGGAGGACTTCCGTGTGTACCACGAGACCCTGGGCCAGGTGAAAGGGGTCTTCCTGCAGGCCCTGCGGCAGCAGAAGGCGGACAAGCACTAGGACGGTGGCTCAGTGTCAGCCTGGCTGGATGAGGCAGCCTTAGGCTCTGAGAGGATGAGGCTCTGTCGACTCCATCTGCTCTGGCAGCCAACCTGGGGCAACCAGCTCAGCCCCTTCTCCCAGAAGAGGTTCCCCGAGGGTGACCAAAGCCAACATCTCAGACCAGGAGGGCAAAGGAAAAACCCTGGTTGAGCCCTGCCGGAGACCCTGGACAGGCGTGGATACGGCAGGGGAGGAGGCCCAGCTGCCTGCTCAGCACCGGCGTGAGCTCTTGGACAACAAGCCGGCTGTGAACAGACGGCGGTCCCCTGGGCAGGTGCTCACCACCCTTGTCCTAGGACCTAGCTGGGAGTCCCTGTCTGCCCACATGGCTCCATATGCACAGGCGAGCCCTTCATGCTCCAGCTGGGAGCGTCCCTCAGGCCACCCAGACCCACCCACCCCCACCCCGACCAGGGCATATACCCCCCATTCTCCCCTCCATGGCTCCATCCGTGGCCACCCCCAACCTTTGCAGCCTTGGGGACATGTGCTCCCAGCCACTTTGTCAGCCCGCTCTTCAGGGGTCTTCCTTAGATGCAGACCCTCAGACTTGTAATAATAATGATTATTTTCATAGTCACCACAGGTCCTAGTGAGTGAGCATCTATTGTGGAAACCTGAACCCATCTAGTCCTTTAGTAACCCAAGGATTTGTCACCCTATTTGGCAGATGAAGAAACTGAGGCTTATAGAAAGAAGCTGGGCTAACATTTAACCCTCCAGTTGAGCAATTAGCCAGGACGGGAGTGCCCACCCTCAGCCAGCTGCTCCGGGGGTCGCCTCCGTTTGCTTCCAAAAAGGCTGCCTCTAGTGGATGCTGGTGGTGGAGGGCAGGTGCGGAGCTGGGCAGGAGCTCCAGGCAGAAGGATTCCGAGGCAGCGAGCCCAGGCAAAGGCATGGTGTTCCTCCCTCACGACCACACAGGGGAGCGCTGGGAGGGCTGCGGCAGGAGAGCCCCCAGGTCCCTCTGTAACTGTCACAGGGTCACTCCCTGCTTCACTGCACTTACAGCCATGGGGAGGGGTGGCCCTAAGGAAAGCCATCCACAGCCACACACACCGACCAGACCCCCTGGCCACACCTGTGTGCACACAGGCCCACACAAAGGCACAGATGCACACAAATACCTACACCCGGGAGTACGCAGCCATACGTGAGCGGCGTTCACACCCCCAGACACGGGCTTGTGCTCACACTCCCACACGTGAAGACCAGTCACTAGCACAGTGACTCACAGATGTGGGGGCACATGCCGTGCAAATACCTCCTCCTGAAGGGAAGCCACCTGGGGCCCCTGGGACCCTGTCTGCTCAGGCCCTTCCTCGGGGATGGGGCCGTGGAGGTACTCTGTGTTGCCCCACAGTCAGGAAGCCCCGGACCCTGCCTGGAGTGACAGGTCTAGAGGCTCCTCGGCAAGTGAAGGCCAACAGGATGAGGCAGCAGTCCTGATGGGGTCCTAAGGGTCCCTGGAAAGGAAGAACTCTCCTCCAGTTCTTGGTGGAGGGAAATGGCCAGGCAGCGCTGGAGGGACTGAGAGGGTCTGTGCTGAGAGGGGACGTTGTGTGACCGTGAGGAGTGGGCCCAAGGCAGAGTCAGGACACCAGACCAAGTGATCAGTACCTTCCCCTGCAGGCATGGGGGAGCCCCCGAGGGTGGTCCGAGTGCCTGTGTGCAGGTTCCAGCCCCTGGGGAAGTACCTCGCAGGGACAAGCAGGCAGAGGACCAACTACCCTTCCTCACGGATGGACAGCGTGGTCACGTCGGGGAAGCACAGGGTGGCATAACCCACACTCTAACCGCTCAAGGGTGGTTTTGCTGCCCTTCCTGGGTCAAGGGTGCATCTGAGAAAGGAAAGTGTGTCAAGTCACGGGGTCTGAATGGGGGTGGTGCCTGGGGCAGATCTCTCTTCCAATTCACCAGCTGTGTGGCCTTGGGCGAGTTACTTAACCTCCCAGAACCTCCACGTCCTCATCCGTAAAATGGGGGCAGAACTAGAAACCTCCGTCAAGGGCTGTTGAGCTGTCAAAGAACAGCTCAAAGACATTTAGCTGATTATTCGGTTGCCATTCACTTCTGTACAAGGCACATGTATCAGTAGATTGATTTCATTCCACAAAGATAAAACAGGATTCATATGAGAGAGAGAGGCCAGAAAAGACTGCCATCGGGCATAGTAAATCTTGTTTGCTCATTTTGGGGTCAACTGGCTAATTGGCATCTTGCAGAGGTCAGTCTAGGCACTCACTCCTTGCTTAGGCCACCTGTGGACATAAAGACAACAGTCTCCATTTACAGATTCTACAGGCAGCCTTGAGAGCTTTGCCGTGGAGCTGTGTGCTGCGGCACCTGCCATCAGCACCCCAGCTTAGTTAGACCAAGTCTGCTCCATCCTCCGTCAGAATCCCTCTTCAGGAGTCGCTGAGTTGAAAAGGGTCGAGTGCTAGAGCAGTGGCTGGCACACAGTAAGTACTTAATAAATGTTAGCCCTTGGTATTGGTTACCTCTTGAGCCGCCCCACTGCCCCAGGCACGGGGGGTGTCGGGTGAGACAGACATGGCCCCTGAGCTCTAGGAAGTGCCCCGCCAGCCAGTGGGGGAGACACTCACAGGCCGCCATCCACTCAGCCGGCCGGCCATCAGGTGGGGAGTGCCACCGGCATGCCAGCCTCTTCAGGCCTGTGAGTGGTCCAGAGGTAGATCTGACTTGCTGTTTTCGGGGAGCCCCTGGTCAAGTCAGAGGCATGGCAAATAGGGCTGGGATGGAGTGGGAGGGGGTGGGGTGGGGGTGGGATGCACACAGAATGCAGCCCCTCAGAGCCTCTCACCTTCTCTGCTGAGGCTTCCAGGCTCGTTGTCCAGATCTGGGGTTTGCGGGGGAGGGGGCTGTCCATACTTCCCTGAGGAGTGGGAGGTGGAGGGTGGAAGGGGAAGGCCCAGGAGAGCCTGGGAGCAGGCTTTTTAAGGAACGGAGGGGTTGTCAAAGGGGCCAAGGACTGGGGCCCTGGGGATCTAATGCAAGTGGGTCAGGTCGGGGGTAGGGCGGCCTAGTCTGTGCAGTTTAGTGACCGTGGCCCCTCCAGAGCAGCACCACCTGCCCCTGGGACCCTGAGGAGGAACTCCTCAGCCCCCAGACAGGTAGGCAGCCGGTGGGCTGGACTTGCCTTTCACAGATGACAACGCTGAGGTCCCTTCCTGGGGCTGAAAAGTAGTAGGGGGAGGAGAGAGACAGGTGCTTGGAGGGCGGAGGGACAAGGACAAGTGAAGAGGCTGGGTTGGGGAGAGGCCTCACGTGAGGACTCTCCCTGGCCGCACCCCAGGCAGGTGCTGCGAGCCTGGGTGCTCAGGTTTCGGCACTGACAGGTGAGACCTGGTTGAGCTGTGGGTGTGGCTTGGCCACTGTCCCTGTGAAGGCCTCTGGGGCACTACAGCTGAGCTGGACAAGGTCGCAGCCTGGCTCAGGCTGATTCCAACCCCAAATACATTCCATTGCCATGGGGCCCCTCCCCTGCTTTCAGGAGCTCAGGGCAAGGTGGCCTGCAGTGGGGGTCCTCCTCTGTGCCCCCATATGCAGTGGCCAGAACCAGCCTCTTCTCTCCATCCCCATCCCCAGCGAGGCCCAAGCTACCCCACCTCCTCTCCCCAGGCACTGCCTACAGTCCCTGAGCCTTGCATACACACACACACAAAGTACATACGTCACACACTAGATACATAACACACATGCACATGCAAAGTGCACACGGCATACATATACACACAACAAACACACCGCAAACAACATGCAAGGCAACACATACACAAACCCCACATACAACAGACACAAAACACAATTATAGACACACAGGATACTTCCCACACATTTTTACTCTGAGTAACAATACACTGGGAAATGAAAGGGGACGCTGGGACTTGAGAGAATTGGCCCCCCTGCCCACTGTATCTTTCCCAGTGGCCCTTGCAGCATTTGGGAAGCTGACCCAGGCCTTTGTCCTGATCTAAGCCCGGTCGACTTCCTGCCCTTGCTTTGTGGGCTGGCCACGCCAGGCACCCTCCCTTGCCACCACCCTCATACGGGGTGAGGCTGGCTTTGGACTGTCCGGTGCCACGTCCAAGAGGCCTCTCTAGCCCTCTATCCAGCCTGCCCTCCCCACATGCCAGGCTCCCTGCAGACCCCACTGCGCACAGCTCCTGCTGGGTGAGCTCTGCCTCTCTGGGCCTCTGGAGTGAGGGAGCTGTGGCTCTCTTCACGAGCAATGCAGTGAGCCAGGCCCTTCATGGAGTGAGTCATGGAATCCCCCCCAAAGCCCGATAAGGACAGAACAGGCTCATTTACAAATGGGGATCTGAGGCTCTGAGAAGTGGATCCCACCAGCGAGGCAGATCTTGGGCTCAGGCTCAAGTCAGCTAGCTGAGCCTGTGCTCTGCATGTGCAGCCAAACCACCCATCCGCGTCTCTGAGCCATTCTCTTCGAGCCTCGTGAGAACTGGCTGGCATGCCCAGGCTGGTCTCGGCCTGCACCCAGGGTGGGTGAACGGGGTTCTTGCCTCTGCAGAGCGATCAGCTCCAGAAGCTTATGGGGCTGACCTCCTTGGGTGTCAGTTTCTTTTTCTATCAACTGGGGGAAATGGTAGCACCTTCCCTAGGGGTTATAGTGACATTGAAGAGTCCATGTAAAGCCTTAGAACGGTGCCTGGCTACTGGGGTTAACTTACTACCCTTCTAATAACCACTGACTCTACCTCAGGACTCCACTTGGGTGTGCCGCACCCCACCCCTGCCCAGGAAGCCCTCCCTAAGCCCTGAAGTCTGGCTCAGGTATCCATCCCTCCTCCAGTGTGACCCATGATCCCAGCTGCAGCCCCTATACTGTGCAGTAATCTCCACGTGCACTTCTCAGTTCCAGGCACCATGACGAAGGCCACTGTGTCATTCTGTGTGGTGTGTGTGCGGGGGTCTCCTTGCTTCTTCCTCTGGGCCAGTGTGTCTGCCTGGGAGGGAGCTCATTGCCTAAGGGCATTATGGGAGGATAGGGGACTCTCTCTCCCCTTCCCAGACCTTGGTCAGGCTCTGGAAGTTGCCCTGCTGGGGGAGGGGGGAGGAACAGCCCCTTCCTTCCCCATCCTCAGCTGAGCCTGTGGCTGGGGTCCAGAGATCAGCAGGAGCTCCGGGACCTGTCCTGTGATTTATTTCAGTCACACAGCTCCTTCAACGCCACTCTTCCACCAACCCCAGACCCTCCTCACTGCACATGCCTGGACAGGCCCCACAGACACGGCACAAGTATATACAGCTCCCTTAGACTCAAGGCTCTCATCCTAAAGGGAGACTAGCAGATGTTCCTGTCCTCTCTGTGGGTTCTTCAGGGTACCCTTCTGCATTGGGAAGGCTGGGCTGAGGCCTTGGCTTCCCCTTCTGTGAGTGAGGGCCCTGTCCTGCTGCCCCCAGAGAGCTCCCAGTCGGTTAGGGACACTCAAGAGGATGCCAGCCACTCCACATACATATTTAAGCCTTGCCAAGTGACCCTGCCAGCACCCCTCCACTTGGGCAACTGCCTGTGGGACAGGGCTGAAGTATGGGGCCCCCTCTGCCACATGTCTCATGCCAGTTCCAGCCCTGCTAGTTAAGCCAGTCCTGCCTCAGGCACTGATGCCTGGCCAGTTAGGACTCTTGGCATAATGAAATGAACCAGGGCAGGGGGCTAGATGGATCTGCCCTGGGACGGCCCTTGGGAGTTCACATGTAAAGGTGCAGGGTAGAGTACAGAGCTGCGCATGAAGTGTGCATGTGTGTGTGTGTGTGTGTGTGTGTGTGTGTGTGCAGTGGGGGCAGGGCACAAGGCCAGTAGGGGCTGTCCGGAAGGCTTCCTGGAAGAGGGGAGTCCTGGATAGCAGTGAGAGGGAGACACAGGCTCTATAGACCAGAAGAGGCAGGTTGGAGT